TGCGTGCACTGCAGGATTTTAATCCATGACGGCGTAGTGTGTTACTAATGGTTTTCTTTGAGACTGTGGTCCCAGCTCTCTTCAGGTCATTGACCAGGTCCTGCTGTGTAGTTCTGGGCTGATCCCTCACCTTCCTCATGATCATTGATGCCCCACGAGGTGAGATCTTGCATGGAGCCCCAGACCGAGGGTGATTGACCGTCATCTTGAACTTCTTCCATTTTCTAATAATTGCACCAACAGTTGTTGCCTTCTCACCAAGCTGCTTGCCTATTGTCCTGTAGCCCATCCCAGCCTTGTGCAGGTCTACAATTTTATCCCTGATGTCCTTACACAGCTCTCTGGTCTTGGCATTGTGGAGAGGTTGGAGTCTGTTTGATTGAGTGTGTGGACAGGTGTCTTTTATACAGGTAACGAGTTCAAACAGGTGCAGTTAATACAGGTAATGAGTGGAGAACAGGAGGGCTTCTTAAAGAAAAACGAACTGGTCTGTGAGAGCCGGAATTCTTACTGGTTGGTAGGGGATCAAATACTTAAGTCATGCAATAAAATGCAAATTAATTACTTAAAAATCATACAATGTGATTTTCTGGATTTTTGTTTTAGATTCCGTCTCTCACAGTTGAGGTGTACCTATGATAAAAATTACAGACCTCTACATGCTTTGTAAGTAGGAAAACCTGCAAAATAGGCAGTGTATCAAATACTTGTTCTCCCCACTGTATATATCAACGAATTGGCGAGATCAGTCTGAATAGTCTGCAGCACCCGGCCTCATCCTACTAAAATCTGAAGTCAAATGTCTACTATTATCTGATAATCTGGTGCTTCTGACCCCAACCAAGGAAGGCCTACAGCAGCACCTAGATCTTCTGCACAGATTCTGTCAGACCTGGGCCCTGACAGTAAATCTCAGTAAGACAAAAAAAAGGTCCAGTTGCCAGGACTACAAATACAAATTCCATCTAGACACCATTGCCCTAGAGCACACAAAAAACAAACATACCTCGGCTTAAACATCAGCACCACAGGTAACTTCCACAAAGCTGTGAACGATCTGAGAGACAAGGCAAGAAGGGCCTTCTACGCCATCAAAAGGAACATAACATTCGACATACCAATTAGGATCTGGCTAAAATTACTGGAATCAGTTATAGAACCCATTGCCCTTAATGGTTGTGAGGTCTGGGGTCTGCTCACCAACCAATAATTCACAAAATGGGACAAACACCAAATTGAGATGCATGCAGAATTTTGTAAAAAATATCCTCAGTGTACAACGTAAAACACCAAATAATGCATGCAGAACAGAATTAGGCCGAAACCCGCTAATGACCAAATCCAGAAAAGAGCTGTTAAATTTTACAACCACCTAAAAGGAAGCGATTCCCAAACCTTCCATAACAAAGCCATCACCTACAGAGAGATTAACCTGGAGAAGAGTCCTCTAAGCAAGTTGGTCCTGGGGCTCTGTTCACAAACACAAACAGACCCCACAGAGCCCCAGGACAGCAACACAATTAGACCCAACCAAATCATGAGAAAACAAAAATATAATTTCTTGACACATTGGAAATAAATAAAAAATGTAACTGAGCAAATTACAATGCTATTTGGCCCTAAACAGAGAATACACCGTGGCAGAATACCTGACCACTGTGACTGACTCAAAATTAAGGAAAGCTTTGACTATGTACAGATTCAGTGAGCATAGCCTTGCTATTGAGAGAGGTCGCCATAGGCAGACCTGGCTCTCAAGAGAAGACAGGATATGTGCACACTGCCCACAAAATGAGGTGGAAACTGAGCTGCACTTCCCTCAGATTACACAGACCCACAACATTTTGATAAACTCCCATATCTATTGGGTGAAATACCACAGTGTGCCATCACAGCAGCAAGATTTGTGACCTGTTGCCACAAGAAAAGGGCAACCAGTGAAGAACAAACACCATTGTAAATACAACCCATATTTATTTATTTTCCCTTTTGTACTTTAACTATTTGCTCATTGTTACAACACTGTATATAGACATAATATGACATTTTTAATGTCTCTATTCCTTTGGAACTTTTTTGTGTGTAATGTTTACTGTTTCTTTTCTTTTCTTTTATTTCACTTTAGTTTATTATGTATTTCACTTGCTTTGACAATGTAAACAAATGTGTCCCATGCCAATAAAGCCCTTTGAATTGAAATAGAAAAAGAGAGAGAGAGAGAGAGAGAGAGAGAGAGAGAGAGAGAGAGAGAGAGAGAGAGAGAGAGAGAGAGAGAGAGAGAGAGAGAGAGAGAGAGAGAGAGAGAGAGAGAGAGAGAGAGAGAGAATGAGTTCTTATACAGATAGTAGGACTTTTACTAGCTTACGTAATTACCAGGGTTGGGGTTAATTCCACAAATTCCATTTAATTCAATTAAAATTGGAATTGAATTTGTGGAATTAACCCTGGTAATTTTTCAGTCTGTGAATTCAGAGATAATTCAATTCCTCTCAATTCCAATGTTCGGTCAATTCCAATAATTCAATTCCCAATTCTATATTATCCCCAACAATTCCACAAATTTCAATCCAAATTCAATTCCCTCAGGCTTTCATGTCACTGTTCAGACAGCCTAGCTCTACTGGAAATATGGATATACAAGTTACATTGATTTAAAACAACTCCAGCAGTCTATTTCTTATACTATGTGTGTTAATTCCATTAACTGGGACAATTCAATTCAATTCCACAGAATACATGTTTTTACAATTCCAATTCAATTCCCATTCAAAATTAGATTCAGTGTGTTTAGCCATGAAATCAAGGATAGCTGTCTGAGGGGTGAAAAGACTGAGGATGGAGACAAAATAGCAGTGTCATGAGAAGGGTAACATTTTTAGTCATTTAGCAGACGCTCTTATCCAGAGCGACTTACAGTTAGTGAATACATATTTTTTTTATACTGGCCCCCCGTGGGAATCGAACCCACAACCCTGGCGTTGCAAACGCCATGCTCTATCAACTGAGCTACATCCCGGCCGGCCATTCCCTCCCCTACCCTGGGCCAATTGTGCGCCGCCCATGAGTCTCCCGGTCGCGGCCGGCGGCGACAGAGCCTGGATTCGAACCAGGATCTCTAGTGGCACAGTTAGCTCTGCGATGCAGTGCCTTAGACCACTGCGCCACTCAGGAGTAACCATGAGTTGATTCCAGCTGCACTGAAACCAAGGCTGAAACAAGTAAACTCTTGTCACACTCACAACCCTGAATGGGCGTCAGATGAATGGGAATGAGAATGACACAACTGTGATTCTTGAGCAGTCAGTCAGTCAGTGAGTCAGTCAGTGAGTCAATCATGAGTCAGTCAGTGAGTCAGTCAGTGAGTCAGTCAGTCAGTGATTGACAGATCCATTGCATCAGTTGACAAGCATCTGGCTAAAGTGTGTGTGATGTTTGGGCCATGTTGAGAGATGGAGCCTCATCCACTGACAAGCAGGATAGATGGCATACTTGTCTTCATTACTACACCCTCTCTTACTACACTCTCTCCCACACATAAGCCTGAATACGCACATGTGTATTCTATATTTGAGACATAATTATTCTGCACAGGCTTAGCACTGGAAATAACACTATAATAGGTTTGTGGTAACCAAGTAATGAAATTCTGTGACAGAGTCATAAGAAATTTCTAAACCAATTTGCGGATGAAAAAAGATGCATGTTGTATTTTTAGTTGCATGTTTACTGTATTACTAATACAGTAAACATAATCCTCCAACACTTTCAGTTTATACAAACTGTACACATTAGTAGCTCAGCTGGTAGAGCACGGCGCTTGTAACGCCAAGGTAGTGGGTTCGATCCCCGGGACCACCCATACACAAAAAAAAATGTATGCACGGATGACTGTAAGTCGCTTTGGATAAAAGCGTCTGCTAAATGGCATATTATATTATATTATATAAGCTAAGCTATTTCAGTAGTTAAAATAGCCAGCTGGAAGTCAGATTTACCTCTGAAATGAATCCCCCCCAGTGTCTAGTGTTCACTTCCTTTAACCCCGACTGGCCTTATCTCTGCTCCTCTAGTACCTACAGCACCTGCTGTCCCTGTCCCCGCCCCTTTCCCTGGCCCTGGGACTGGGAGAAAACACCAACACTTCCTGGGTTGCGTTCTCACGCTAACAACCCCAGTGATGTGGGTGGAATTGTTTGGATTTACTTTCATTTGTGACTAGGAAAACATTCCAGGCCTAGTTATGCTGCAGGCTGTACAGTAACTAGGTCCCAACATTTTGGCATGGCCAAGATAGGTCACATAAATCAGGAAAAACTCCAGTCCCTAGTTTCTTCCAGTACAGTATGTCAAGTTGCAAGTTTTAAGGTGTTCAGTACAATATAGTACAGTACAGTAAGTCCTGTGAAAGGTCAGTGTGGCATGCAGCTCTCTGCCATCAGGTGGAGTAGGAGTGCTATAGCAGTGACTCACCTGTCCTACCACCTGAGGCTACAGGTACGCCCTCCCCCTGAGAGAGAGAGAGAGAGAGAGAGAGAGAGAGAGAGGAGAGATAGAAGAGAGAAGAGATAGAGAGAGAGACGAGCGAGAGCGAGAGAGATAGAGAGAGAGAAGAGAGAGAGATATTAGAGAGATCGAGAGAAGATCGCTATCGAGACGATACTGCGCTCCTCTGCTCAAAAACGCCGTATGCGGGATACTATCGCGATCCTCGCGCTAGCCGCTTGGAAGGGTCTTACAAGAGAGAGAGAGAGTGAGATAGGTCCTGGAATTGAACTGACCGCTTGGGGGATTGTCACCATACAGCGGAATAAAAAGAAGGGTATAGAACTTTTGGAATGGAACCCTGCTCTGGGCGTTTACCAGAACGTAGAGAAAAGGGTGGGGGAGAGAGAGAGAGAGGGGGAGACAGGGGACAAGAGATAGAACAAACAAACGACAGAGCGAGAGAGAGGGAAATAGCGAGAGAGAACATAGAGAGAACAGAGAAAACAGGCTCACTCATGCTCTCAGGGAAACTCTTCCTAGTAACCTGGCTGGGTGGACCCAATGACCAGAGCTGGGAGCGGCTGAGAGAGAGGCTGCTGTGCTACGGTGTATTTCTGAATGGTGTCTGTCTGAGTTGGGTTCCTCTGCTATGAGAACACACACCAGCACTGACCGTGGAGCCCAGCGGAGCCTGTTTTGTGGAGGGGGAGGAGGAGGAGGAGGAGGAGGACATGAGGTCCAACAGGGATGAGGGGACACCCGGTGAGTGAGAGAAAGAGAGGGAAGAAAGAGGAGTGTATTTAGAGGATCAGTCACTGTTGTGACAGTTGGTTTAAGCCAGAGTTCTGTTTCTACGGTAGAGATGTGTGTGAGTTCAATAATTCGTTTTCACGTGTATACCCATTTGTTTGAATACTCACACTGAATTTATTAGAGGAAATTGAATGAGTCATGTAAACTCATTATCAATGAGTTACTAAATGAATAACTCATCATTTGGTAGTGTTAGTACTGTATTTAGATGATATTATACAGTATATATGAAGGTTGTGTTACAGTAGCAACACATTAATGGCTGTAAAGAAATATTGTTTTGCGTGTAATTTTAGAAAACATATTTGATGGTAGTAGGCTTTTTTACATAAGCTAGGGTGACCATACGTCCTCTTTTTCCCGGACATGTCCTCTTTTTGGACCTAAAAAAATGCGTCCGGCCGGGATTTCTAAATCGCCCAAAATGTCCGGGATTCGGCTTTTGCTTTCTACAGTCGCCATTAATTGTGTGCGTTTTTGGGGGTTTTGCATTGCTTTGACCTTTCTCTTTAGGTCCCACCTTCTCACACGCCACCATTGGTCGGTCATGTAGGCCTACGCAAACATTGGTCAAACTGCATCTCAATCATTACCCTCACCATGGCAACAGCCAAGAGACAGAGCAGCAGCTTGCTTGTCAACAGTGGCACATGGCTCCAGAACAGCGTAAAAATGGCCAAACGCAAATGTAAATTCATAGACGAGTTACAGAGAAAATTCCCGTGTTTTCGTCTTGGTCAGGATCCGTGTGAAGCAGAATGCATGACCTGCAAAGCTGGCACGTACGTGTCAGTGTCAAATAAAGGTGCTAGCAACCTAGAAGCCCACATAAGCCCTGCAAAACACAAAATTGCAGCTAAAGGAGAGAGTTCGTCAGGTAAATTAACTGACTGATTTTCTGAGAGCAGGTTAAACAGAAGATGCTGTTACTGCTGCGGAGGGAGTTTTGCATTCCACACCACGAAGCATCACAATAGCTACAGATCAATGGACTGCACGTCTGCCTTGTTAAAAAAGGCTTTCCCTGATTCCGAGACTGCGCAAAAATGTTCAAGCGCTCGTACTAAGACCAAAGCAATTGTTAATGCTGTGATAGCACCACATTCTGTCGACATAGCTCTGAAAGCACTAGAAGACATACCTTACTGTGGTGCTTCTACTGATGGGAGCAATCACGGTGCTGTGAACATATTCCCTCTGCTTATTCAGTATTTTGATTGGAAGAATGGTGGCGTGCAAAGTAAATTAGTCGAAGTTAAAAACACTCCAAATGAGACAGCTGATACGATCGCAATACATCAAAGAAACACTGGAAAAGAATGGGATTTTTTCAAAATGTATTGCATTTACAGGTGACAACTGCAATACAATGTTCGGGGGAATCCGGCGTGATGAAGAAGGAAATAATGTTTTCGCAAACTTAAAGAAGTCATTGCAGAACAAGTCTTTAATCGGTGTGGGCTGCCCAGCACACGTCTTGAACAATTGTGTTCATTACGGGGAAGACACACTAGATGTCGATATTGACATCATCTTCAACATATGTCAATACTTTCACATCTACACTGTGCACACAGATAATTTGAAGGAGTACTGTGAATTTGTTGATGTTGAATACAGAAGTCTCCTTTCTCACAGCAAGACGTGATGGTTGTCATTATTCCCAGGTATTGAGAGGCTGCTACAGATGTTTCCAGCCTTGAAAGCATTATTTTTGTCACAGGAAAAAACACCCTCCTTGATCAATAACTTTTTTGAAGATGAGTTCAGTGAAATTTACCTCTGGCACATGCACTCACTCATGTGTGTGTTTCATTCACACATTCAGGAGATGGAAAGGGAGAGCAATTCAATTGTGGATGTGAAGAACCTTTTGAACAAAGTCCACACCATGCTTCTTGAACGCAAGACCAATAACTTAATGTCCCTTAAAGTTAAGGGACTATTGGCACAAAAGCACAAGGATGGACTTGGTAAGAATTGTGACCATTTCAGTGCTCAAGTACAGGGTCTGTACAGTTCATGCCTGGAGTATCTGGAGAAATGGATGGCACCCATGGAGGAATTCTCCTCTTTCATGTGGATGGATCTTAGTGAGACACCTGACTGGAATGACAAAGAAGCCTGTATCAAACACCTGGGAGAAAAGGGGGTGCCAATTGATGATGCAAAGTGCTTTGATCAGGTCACCAACCTGAAGAAATTCACAGAAAGGTGTAACAGTGATGGAGAGTTCAGTAATCTGCAAGCACACAAGAAGTGGACCAAATATTTTGAAAGGTCCAAAAGCATAGATTTTCATTCAGAGCTACTGAAGATTGCACAGTTTTTCTTTGCTATTCCTTCTCACAATGCAAATGTAGAGAGAGTTTTTTCACTGATGCAAAACCAGTGGACAAAGGAAAGGAATCATTTGTCTGTTGAGTCACTGAAGGGGCTTCTGTGTACACAATGCAACTTTAAAAACATGTCTTGCAAAGACTTTGATGCCTACTTGATTGGTAATCAAGGACTGTTGGGAAAGATTCGATCTTCGGGAAAGTATACCAGAGAGCATCAGGAGGACTGACATTATTTTTGACTGAAATAGTGGATTTTTTTATGACAACTGTTTTTTTTTTTTTTATTGTAACCTATGGCCATGAAAAGAAACAGTGTCATGTAAAAGGTGTTAAAAGCTAAACTATTTTTATTTGTTATTATTCTATTGTTGAGGGCCAACAGTTGAATAGAAAGGATGTATTACTTTATGTATTAAAGTTCAATAACATAGTTGCATGGTTGTGAACGCATTTGTATTTACCACCCACTGTGGGTGTCCGTCTGCCTCCCGCTCCCACTGTCCTCTTTTTTGAAAACTAAAATATGGTCACCCTGCATAAGCATGTTGACCTGGATCTGTTATGTACGTTGGTTAATATGCGTGTTAATCTGTTAATCTGCCATAAGTATTTGAATCCCTGGGAGTGAGTTGGGTATTTAGGCAGATATTTGGTGATGATCAGCTCAGTCAGCATAGCACACGTAGACTACATCTCTGAGAAATGATCAGTCAGTATGTCACAATTCAGGGCTCTGGAAGCTGTCCTGTTCTGTCTGGAGTCCTGTAGGTCTGGTCCTAGAACTACTATCCAATCAGCATATTGCCCCAGTGTTCACCCTACAATTCCTCCGCCCATGTCTTGCATTGAATGTGTTGCAATGCATTTGATAGAAAATAGCAAACATCAGACACAGCCATTAATTCAGGTGTTATCTGAGAGAGCCTCCAACACCTCCAACTGGACCCCTGGTAGACACTGTCTCTGTCGTTGTGACAGGATGTATACTGTGTTTATCTAGATGCCTTTAACTGTTATTTCTTTACGTCTATGCCCCCTGACAAGTTACACAAGACTGTGTGTGTGTCTGTGCCTGCGCGCCTCCATGCACACCTGCGTGCGTGTGTGTGTGCGTGCTCATGCATGCATATTATGTGTGTGTGATGCATGCTCATGTGTGTGTGTACTTACTACTCACTCTTGTGTTTGTGTGTGTGCTGGTGGTATTTGAGGGGATGAGTCCGAGGCTGATCCCGCTGGTTGTGTTGCGTGACTCCTGCTGATCTACTCCATACCCAGAGGTTGAGGAAAGATAATGAGTTTGACCGAGTGAGACGCTGCTGCCAGATGGCACTGTCAGAGATGGTCTCACACTCTGCTCCAACAGCAGCTCACAGCAGGCCCATGATGACATGCTCTGCAGGCCTAGTCCTTGACCAGTGACCAGTCCACCTGGCTGGACCAGTCTAATGTGTTACAGCTCCATAGGGAGTGGAGGTCAGTGTACAAGAAGGATGCACCACCATTAGTCTGACTGGGGTTTTCCTGGAGATGTTCATGAATTGGGCACAGCTTTCATCTCCTTTTTGGTGAAATATCCTCGACAGGGATGGCACTGGCTTGTGGTCAGACTGAACATTAATGGGACAATGTTCACTATAGTCTCATAAGGCATGTCTATTGTTCAGTATTCCGTCAAAGTCAGACCATGTTCAATTATATTATTGTGTTCAATGTAGTCAGAGTGTACAGAGCTACAGTATGTTTAGATAGATTACAGCTTTTGGTCTTGTTGGTCTTATTGGTCTTGTTGGTCTTGTTGGTCATGTTGGTCTTATTGGTCTTGTTGGTCTTGTTGGTCTTATTGGTCTTGTTGGCCTTGTTGGCCTTGTTGGTCTTGTTGGTCATGTTGGCCTTGTTGGTCTTGTTGGTCTTGTTGGCCTTGTTGGTCATGTTGGCCTTGTTGGTCTTGTTGGTCTTGTTGGTCTTGTTGGCCTTGTTGGTCATGTTGGTCATGTTGGCCTTGTTGGTCTTGTTGGTCTTATTGGTCTTGTTGGCCTTGTTGGCCTTGTTAGTCTTGTTGGTCTTGTTGGCCTTGTTGGTCATGTTGGCCTTGTTGGTCTTGTTGATCTTGTTGGTCTTGTTGATCTTGTTGGTCATGTTGGTCATGTTGGCCTTGTTTGTCTTATTGGTCTTGTTGGCCTTGTTAGTCTTGTTGGTCTTGTTGATCTTGTTGGTCTTGTTGGCCTTGTTGGTCTTATTGGCCTTGTTGGTCATGTTGGTCTTGTTGGTAGTGCTAACTGACTTATTTTATTGTGTTTTTTTATTGTGTTACTATTTTATTTTTATCTATTTGTTAATGTTCTTGCTTTTTAACTGCATTGTTGGGAAAGGGCTCGTAAGCAAGCATTTCACGGTAAAGTCTACACTTGTTGTATTCGGCGCATGTGACAAATAAAATGTTGTTTGATTTGATTTGATTTGACTACTGTAGAAAATATCAACAAAGTGTTGTGCAGCAGGTTTAAAACAGCAAATAATCTCCATGAAGCCTCCCAACCACCAAACTCCCCATCGGAGCCAAAACCGGTCATTGACTGAATGAATGTGGTTGCTATTTTTGATGCAACCCTTTCTATCGGTCTTCCTGCATCATTTCATGTTGATTTGATGTTATCCTCTTATATAAGGCCCTATATTTGGGTCATCCTCTTGTCTTGAGATGTAAACAAAATTGGCTCTTTAGAGACTGCTCTTATCAGGTCGCTGTTAACAGCCATTTCGTGATTCCTTCCACACAGGTCTTACAATAGACCTAAAGTAGATCTCAATGCTTCATGCTAAATTCAATGTGTGTGTTGCCCGCGAGAGGCAATAATGTGAAAAGATTTTAGGTTTAGAAAGGCACTTAAGGTTTGTAATTTCCACTTAGAAATTTCAGACTTGAGTTTCCCTTATGAAATGTCCATGAATTATAATCTACATAATAACATTTCCTGTTGCTGCAGGATTATTTTCCTACTGTCGGAGACTGGCTCAAATTAAGATCCTACATCTGTATGAGAGATCCCTGGGTTCATTCGGCAGGCTGCATTTCCTTGACAATAAGGGCTATTATCTGCGTGAGTTTGATGAGGAACAGCAGCCGACCCCTGTCACCCCCTACGGCGATCCCAACACAGCCCTCCTTTCGTGGGAATCATCTCCACCACGCAGTAATAATCATAGAGGCAGAGCACACCAGGCAACCATGCACACACACACACACGCACACACACACACTTGCATGCGCACACACACACCGATACAGCCATCCACGCATCATGTGGCTCATCCATCACAGACATACAGAGCAGAGGAACATTGTGGATGGAAGAGAGACATAGAGACATGGAAGCACAGATGCTCTGTGGCCAGAAGCCAACAATAAGACGTAATGTATTCATAACCATCACCAGATACTAAAACCTTACTGCAGGCATCCAAGCAAATTCATAAACCCCAGTAATGAAATACTAAATTAATCTAAATGAAAAAAGATGATAATGTGTGCCCAGGCTAATACTGCTGTATAATTATGGATTACAGTTTGACTGTGTTGTTACAGCTGATGTAGACTTCTTAGTATATGTTTGGCTTCTTCATTAACAATGACAGACTAGTCTGCGCTGATACCAGATGTCTAACTTTATAGTAAAGTCCCACATGCAAACATATTGTAGTTGGCTAAATCCCACTATACACTGTGTTGAATTTGTTATGTTCTTCTTACTGTAATCCATTGTCTCATGTCAGATGGCGTCACTCCTACGAGACGCTCGCAAATGTGCTCTAACTAGCAGTCTAGTGCATGGCCATATGGTAGCTAGTTTGCCAGCGTGTTGCTCAAGTTGTAAGGCACCAAAGTTATGGAACTGTTCTCCGAAATCAGCATGTATCTGACTCTGACAGATGGCACTGTGCCTTGCTACTTCGTAACATTTGGCCAACACGGTAATGTCGCAGAGATCAGTCAGCTGTGCTGTAGAACTCAGCGCACTAATCACAGCAGAACAGATGTGAAAACAAATTTGTGCATTAGCTAGAACTCCACTAGCTAGTTAACTAGAGGGAGTAATCCACATTGAGTATGTGAACTGGCATTGTTAGCATCCCTGCATTTAGTTTCATATGGATTGCATTTCGAATTTCATAAATACTGATTCTACCACCACAAAAAACCTTAGCTAGATTAAGAATTAGGTAGTGAGGACTTGCTCATGAAAAAAAAGTAAATATTAGCTACAGCTTTATAGTTTTTGGTAAGATTAAGTCTGACTATTTTGAGAATGAAAGGGGAGTTCAGTGGACGATGTGACCTTGGTAACATTTTCCAAGTGTTAGGACAGCATATTGTAGGCAAACCTATTTTTAGCTATCCCATTAATGATTGCGAGTTATGAGACAGATCAGTGAAGACGACCGTCGCACTATCTGATGTGAGACAATGACTGTAATCTAGATAAGTGCAGTACACAGGATACTATCTAGACATTAGACCATTGTCTTTAGTCTCACAGCTGATGCCCATGCCATCCACTCTCCTCTGGACCTTTCTACTGTAGAAGTGGCCTGAGACCACCACCTGAGACCACAGTTTTTCAACTGGTCGTTCAGAACAGCACTGTTTCCGTTTAATTGAACATTCAGTATGTTTTTTCGTACTGAACGCAGCGTTGGAATATTAACATTTCTGAGTGTTGTTACTGGAGCAACATGGAGATATCCTGAGTTTCTGAACAGGCTGTGAAACCAGTGATGTGTTCCTTCTCCTAGTTTTATACAAAAAATAGTTTATGAAAGGAATGACAGAGAGAAAGAGGGAGGCACTGGTGATGAACCATTGTAATGATGTTCTGAGCCCTGTTCTAAAGTGTTCTACTCAGTGAGTCTCATTGGGGCTTTTGTTGAGCGCTGTCTGAACCTCCCAAGCACCCTTTCAAGGCTGTTTGAACCTCCCTAGCATCCCTTCAGGGCTGTTTGAACCTCCCAAGCATCCCTTCAGGGCTGTTTGAACCTCCCAAGCACCCCTTCAGGGCTGTTTGAACCTCCCAAGCACCCCTTCAAGGCTGTTTGAACCTCCAAAGCACCCCTTCAGGGCTGTTTGAACTTCCCAAGCACCCATTTTGTGCTTTTATCAGCCGTTGATGACAGCTAATTATTGTTTAAATAAACATTGGAAGGATTTTTTGTATTTGAAATGGTTGAATATTTTGCTACCATATGGTGAGTAATGCTCCAGGTAATAGTGGCCTTTTTTCTACAGTGCAGTTACCTGCAATGCTACAGTACAATATCTCTATGTACAACACATCACCCTCTCTAAAAAGTAATTACTCTACTCCTTCCCCAGCTCCAATTCCCCCGCTCCCTCTCCTCTCCTCACCGTGCTGAGTGTCCTATAGCTGTCCAGCACCAGCACCAATCCCACCAGGGTGACACAGTGTGGGAAAATAGTACTGCATAGAGAAACAGGACCCCAAAATGTACGGGAATTGAAATATCTCCAGTCCATGTTCTATTTCCAGACTACTGTGGGAACTGACAATCAAATAGTAATCCAAGGATTGTGAATTATTATATATATATTATTTTTTACATATTGTGAGATTACTGCGTTCCTACTAATGCTGCTGCTGCAAACCCACTAAAACCCTTCCATGTTCAGCACTCCACATACAGGAGAATATAATACAGTAAAGCCATGGATGGAAATATAGGATCAATGCTCTTAAATGGTGGAGCTTTGTGGAATGAACTAGGTGACAGTGTGCTACTCTCCTCTGGTTTCAAGCCTACTGATGCTGTGCCAGATTTATACAGACATGTAAGACTGTCTCTGTCACTCTCCTAATCAGGGTTGAGTAGGTTACTTTCTAAATGTAATCTGTTACAGTTACCTGTCCAAAATGTTTATCAGTAACGTAACTTTTGGATTGCCCAAACTCAGGAAAGTAATCTGATTACTTTCAGTTACATTTGTATTACCTTCCCCTTCAGAGGCTTTAGAAGAAGACAAAAAGGATCCATCAAAGCATTTGGTGTGTCATCATAGATCTCTGACTTATAGTCAGACTCGCTCAGGTGGAACAAACTTAAACGTGTGCCTTTTTTCACTGCTGAATTGAATGTCATTGAGAAAATAGAAAGGTGTCATAATGTATTCATCCTTTCTGAATTTAAAAGTAATCCAAGAAGTAATTAAGTTTTTCAAACGTATCTGTAATCTGATTACAATATTTTAGCTGGTAACTTAACCGATTCGTTTTTCCCAACCAGGTAACCTGGCAGGTAGGAGCGTTGGGCCAGTAACCGAAAGGTTGCTGGATCGAATCCCTGAGCTGACAAGGTAAAAATCTGTCATTCTGCCCTGAGCAAGGCAGTTAACCCACTGTTCCCCGGGTTAAATGCGTTGGGTTAAATGCGGAAGACACATTGCAGTTGAATGCATTCAGTTGTTCAACTGACTAGGTATCCCCTGTTCCTAACATACAGTATGGAGTGACATATACACTGAATACAAATATAAATGCAACAATTTCAAAGATTTTACTGAGTTACAGTTCATATAAGGAAATCAGTCAATTGAAATAAATAAATTAGGCCCTAATCTATGGATTTCACATGACTGGTAATACAGATGTGCATGTGTTGGTCAAAGATACATTTAAAAAAAAAAGTAGGGGAGTGGATCAGAAAACCAGTCAGTATCTGGTGTGACCACCATTTGTCTCATGCTGGGCGACATATCTCCTTCACATAGAGTTGATCAGGCTGTTGATTGTGGCCTGTGGAATGTTTTCCCACTCCTCTTTAATGGCTGTGAGAAGTTGCTGGATCTTGGCGGGAACTGGAACACGCTGTCATACACGTCGATCCAGAGCATCCCAAACATGCTCAATGGGTGACATGGCTGGTGAGTATGCAGGCCACGGAAGAACTGGGACATTTTCCACTTCCAGGGATTGTGTATAGATCCTTGCGACGTGGGGCCATGCATTATCATGCTGAAACATGAGGTGATGGTGGCGGATGAATGGCACAACAATAGGCCTCAGGATCTCATCATGGTATCTCTGTGCATTCAAATTGCCATCGATAAAATGCAATGTTTGTTGTCTGTAGCTTATGCCTGCCCATACCATAACCCCAGCTGTCCGGGTGGCTGGTCTCAAACGATCCAGCAGGTGAAGAAGCCAGTTGTGGAGGTCCTGGGTTGGCGTGATTAAACGTGGTCTGCGGTTGTGAGGCCAGTTGGATGTACTGCCAAATTCTCTAAAACTACGTTATGGTAGAGAAATTAGCATTCAATTCTCTGGCAACAGCTCTGGTGGACATTTCTGCAGTCAGCATGCCAATTGCACGGCCCCTCAAAACATTGCGTTGTGTGACCAAATTGCACATTTTAGAGTGGCTTTTTATTGTCTCCAGCACAAGGTGCACCGATCATTCTGTTTAATCAGCTTCTTGATATGACATACATTTTAGTCATTTAGCAGACGCTCTTATCCAGAGCAACTTACAGTAGTGAGGGTATACATTTTTTCGCAGTGATCCCCCATGGGAATTGAACCCACAACCCTGGCAAACTAAAGTAGACTTACCAGCTCTAACCAGCCTGAGCGTTCTTCCATCCTGCAGTACCCACACTGTCTCTCAATTAGAGAAAGTGGCCCCTGCAGTGTGTGTAAATGGGTATGTTAAATAGTCATTGACAAGGTCAATATTGCTGTTAGGTGCACTGTTCGAGCTGCAAGAATAATGTGAAGTGTTTGAAAATGGAAATGTAAGAAAATTATTAATGCACATATTTGAGTTGGGTGATTATATTTTCAAAGGACCACGATTTGCCTAATCATGTAAGCTCTTTCTCTCTGTTGTTCGCTGGCTAATTCCCTGCTATAACAAACCCGGGGAACATAACATGTTACATTTATTACACTGAATATTGCAGGCGGAGAGGCAAATAATTAATTTTCATACTAACAGGGTCCGTGGAGATGCTTATTAAGATGATATAAAGGTCTGCACACATTAACCACTGAGTAATGGACAGTTTCACACTGTATTGGAGGTGTCGTGTCTGTGCAAGAGTACAGTTCCTCTCAGTTAGGACAGTGCCTGTGGATATTTTTAGGGAACATAGGACAAATTTGCGGTCACTCCGGTCAGTGTTGTGGCTACCTGACACAAGGAGAGGAGTGGCCATATGACCATAGCCTCCAGCATAGTAACACATGTAGGCCGAGGGAGGACGGTGGGTGACACCTGCCCAGAGATTCCTACACAGCATGCTACATAGAAGGAGAGCAGATGGTTGCTGTCAAGGATGTGTTTAACACTCGTATCAAACTCACAGCACAGGTAGTAATCTAGTTCTAGTTATACCCTGATGAAGACAGCTTGTCTGTCGAAACATTGGTTATTAGGTTATTAAATCATTTTATCTGAGCTCCTAGAGTGAGACTCTCCTTTTCTTTTTCAAGTAATCTAGTTCATGCCTGGCCCCAGCCCCCTTTTAGCCACAAGGCAAACAGCCACTAGACCTGTCTGCTCAGTAAGCCGTGTTCCGTCTCTTTCCGTGTCTGATTGGAGAAGCCAGGGAGTGAGGGAAGAGGACAGGTTGATGGCCTGGTCAGAGCAGCCCTGATGATAGACACTCTAATGGAGGGAGGCATTGCTCAGACAGGAGTAATTGAGTGGGCCACTGCTGAGTGAGGAGACGGGTGACCTTCTTCTCTCCTCAGGGAGGTGGCTAATGGAACAGGCATGCTCACTGTCTACTGGTGATGCTAAGACTAAGACTGGAGACAGGGAGACGATGACAACAACAACAACAACAACAACAACAACAACAACAACAACAACACCACCACAATGGGTGCACTATACATACGCGCTATACACTATACACACACGTACACATGGATTTTGTGTTGTAGATATGTGGTAGTAGAGTAGTGACCTGAGGGCACACACTTAATGTGTTGTGAAATCTGTTGTGAATGTATTGTAATGTTTTTGAAATTGTATAACTGCCTTAATTATGCTGGACCCCAGGAAGAGTATCTGCTGCCTTGGCAGGAACTAATGGGGATCCATAATAAATGCAAATACAAATGGGATTTTCAACAGGCCAGGTCACATCATGACCAGTAAAGTACATACTATTTATTATGGCTTATTCTTCAATAGTGTATACTAAAAGATTACCACTGAGGCTTGTCCCTCACGTGTGCCTGTGCATTGTGTGAGAAGAGACAACCAGACATAAATCATTTCACGCTTTGCATGTCTTTACAGTAAACTCAACTGACCCCACAAACACACTCCCTCTCACAGCCCTCAGTTGACAGCCCTCAGTGTGGTTTTAGTGTCCAGTACGACATGATGTGTAGTCTTTTTTCTCCTGATGATGTCCCTGCCAACAGGCTTATCCACACTGAAATGCCTACGTTGTCTCGGAAAAATAAAGAAGATTCTCTAGGCTTTGCTTTGCCTTGCCTTCATTTCATCCCGACTTTGAGGCAGGCAGGGAGGGAGGCGGGGAACCTAAAAGAGGAGTGATTATGCAGCTCAGAGCTGACAGTGGGGGAGTAATGGCAGGATGGGGGATCGATGGAAAAGTGTATTTGAGGGAATTATGTTGCTGATTGCTTGTGCTTAAATCACCCTCTGTTCTGTTCCCACAGTATCTAGAGAATCTCTGAGTGCTCATCATGTGTCTGTCTTTCTTATGTTGAGTCACGTTGACTGGCTCTGTTCCAACTGCTCCACTATAGTTGGTGCAGATGCATACACTCTATACAATGCTTGTGGTGACAATGACGATTTCCTTCAAGTAGCCTGCTTACCCGTACATATAATTCTACATGATCATTATCATAATACACATATATGATATCACATTTAGAGTTAAACTGTCCTGAAACACTCTCCGGTGTAAGGAAGGTTATACAATGACTGCATGTACTATAACCTTTGGGAATAAGATTATTCAAATGTTGTATTTTTTTTATTTTTTATCTTCCACATTAGCAACCCTGGTACTTTATGTATGCAAGGACATGATTGTATGATACTATCACACTGAGAGGGAGACATGTAGACCATCTTCACCAAATTACAGAACAACATATTTATATCACAGCTTGAACTGGGGATCATACTTGGAGCACAGTTAGTACCACAGACTACTCTAAAAGCACAGTTAGTACCACAGATGACTCTAACACCACAGGTCGTACCACAGATTACTCTAACAGCACAGTTAATACAACAGATTACTATAACAGCACAGTTAATACCACAGATTACTCTAACAGCACAGTTAGTACCACAGATTACTCTAACAGCACAGTTAGTATCACATATTACTATAACAGCACAGTTAATACCTTACATTACTATAACAGCACAGTTAGTACCACAGATTACTCTAACAGCACAGTTAGTACAACATAGTACTATAACAGCACAGTTAATACCACAGATTACTCTAACAGCACAGTTAGTACCACATATTACTCTAACAGCACAGTTAATACCTTACATTACTATAACAGCACAGTTAGTACCACAGATTACTCTAACAGCACAGTTAGTACCATAGATTACTATAACAGCACAGTTAGTACCACATATTACTCTAACAGCACAGTTAATAACTTACATTACTATAACAGCACAGTTAGTACCACAGAATACTCTAACAGCACTGTTAGTACAACAGATTACTCGAACAGCACAGTTAATACCATAGAATACTATAACAGCACAGTTAGTACCACAGATTACTCTAACAGCACAGTTAGTACCATAGATTACTATAACAGCACAGTTAGTACCACAGATTACTCTAACAGCACAGTTAGTACCACATATTACTCTAACAGCACAGTTAATACCTTACATTACTATAACAGAACAGTTAGTACCACAGATTACTCTAACAGCACAGTTAGTACTACAGATTACTCGAACAGCACAGTTAATACCATAGAATACTATAACAGCACAGTTAGTACCACAGATTACTCTAACAGCACAATTAATACCTTACATTACTATAACAGCACAGTTAGTACCACAGATTACTCTAACAGCACGGTTAGTACCACAGATTACTATAACAGCACAGTTAGTACCACAGATTACTATAACAGCACAGTTAGTACCACAGATTACTCTAACAGCACAGTTAGTACAACAGATTACTCGAACAGCACAGTTAATACCATAGAATACTATAACAGCACAGTTAGTACCACAGATTACTCTAACAGAACAATTAATACCTTACATTACTATAACAGCACAGTTAGTACCACAGATTACTCTAACAGCACAGTTAGTACCACAGATTACTCTAACAGCACGGTTAGTACCACAGATTACTATAACAGCACAGTTAGTACCATAGATTACTATAACAGCACAGTTAGTACCACAGATTACTCTAACAGCACAGTTAATACCTTACATTACTATAACAGCACAGTTAGTACCACAGATTACTCTAACAGTACAGTTAGTACCACATATTACTCTAACAGCACAGTTAGTACCATAGATTACTATAACAGCACAGTTAGTACCACAGATTACTCTAACAGCACAATTAATACCTTACATTACTATAACAGCACAGTTAGTACCACAGATTACTCTAACAGCACAGTTAGTACCACAGATTACTCTAACAGCACGGTTAGTACCACAGATTACTATAACAGCACAGTTAGTACCATAGATTACTATAACAGCACAGTTAGTACCACAGATTACTCTAACAGCACAGTTAATACCTTACATTACTATAACAGCACAGTTAGTACCACAGATTACTCTAACAGCACAATTCGTACCACAGATTACTATAACAGCACAGTTAGTACCATATAATACTATAACAGCACAGTTAGTACCACAGATTACTCTAACAGCACAGTTAGTACCACATATTACTCTAACAGCACAGTTAGTACCACAGATTACTCTAACAGCACAGTTAGTACCACAGATTACTCTAACAGCACAGGTAATACAACAGATTACTATAACAGCACAGTTAATACCACATATTACTCTAACAGCACAGTTAATACCTTACATTACTCTAACAGCACAGTTAGTACCATAGATTACTATAACAGCACAGTTAGTACCACATATTACTCTAACAGCACAGTTAATACCTTACATTACTATAACAGCACAGTTAGTACCACAGATTACTCTAACAGTACAGTTAGTACCACAGATTACTCTAACAGCACGGTTAGTACCACAGATTACTATAACAGCACAGTTAGTACCACAGATTACTATAACAGCACAGTTAGTACCACAGATTACTCTAACAGCACGGTTAGTACCACAGATTACTATAACAGCACAGTTAGTACCACATATTACTATAACAGCACAGTTAGTACTATATATTACTATAACAGCACAGTTAGTACCACAGATTACTCTAACAGCACAGTTAGTACCACAGATTACTCTAACAGCACAGTTAGTACCACAGATTACTATAACAGCACAGTTAGTACCACAGATTACTATAACAGCACAGTTAGTACCATAGAATACTATAACACCACAGTTAGTACCACAGATTACTATAACAGCACAGTTAGTACCACAGATTACTCTAACAGCACGGTTAGTACCACATATTACTATAACAGCATAGTTAGTACCACAGATTACTATAACAGCACAGTTAGTACCACAGATTACTCTAAAAGCACAGTTAGTACTATATATTACTATAACAGCACAGTTATTATTCTTATTTCGTGTTTTTGTTCTATCTTATGTTATTTATGGTACTACATTGATATTGATTACTTTATTGTTGGGTTTGGAGTGTGCAAGAAATGCTTTTCACTGTACTTGTGCACGTGACATTAACACTTGAAACTACGACTGCAAATCATCTGAACAGCACATAACTGCCTGGGATGCATACTTCTACTTGTGTCTGGCTGCTCTGCTCTACAGAGCTATCAAAGGTGGCAGCTGGGCTCGCCTGCTACAAATAAGAAAGCCTATAGGTAAACAGATGAATGAGCGGATTTAGCCGGCAGGAAGGCTGTGAAACTACCTCCTTGTGCCATGTATAATACAGAGCTGCTGCCTAGCACGTCTTTCCACAGCCAGAGTCGACAGTGACCGATGGACTGTCCCTTTCTCTCTTATCTGGGCCTCAGCAGCCCCACGTCGTCTGGCTGTAGGCCTGGGGAGGCCCTCACACACAGGCGCTCACATGCACACACACACACACACGTGCGCACACACACACACACACACTTTCTCTGTTCACACACAGCTCCCCTACACCCTCATACCGGAGAAGATTTGCCCGTGAAGTTTTGAAATATTTATTATCTATCGTCATGCAACATCACAGAGTGCCAAGTCCATCTCCTGGTTCAGGTACTGTACACCACCAATGTGTAGCACCTACCTGTGTAATGCACAACAAGTACAGTATTAATGCCAGAACGCACTGCGGCTCTCATGCCATGTCAGTGCCCTTGGGCATCTTTGACTAGAGGAAGGATAGTGGCCAAAACCACTTCCAGAAGCCATCAGATTTTTACAGGTGGTCTCCCAGTTACCAACCAGCCCTGCCCCCTACCCTGCTTAGGGCTGGAAGTGATTTGGCTGCTGATTTCTGCTGTTGGTATGGCTTCTGCCCAGTCATACAAACATTGTGCATTGTTCTGAACCATGATACTGTATATATTCTAGAAGCTTTAGTGCGAAAATATAACTCAGTATGACAAGTTAATTTCTTTGTTGTGGTGTGCGGCCCGGCCCTTACTGGGGTGAAATGAAGCTCTAAACTAACCTCAGCTAGTCGATTCCTTGTATCTTATAAAATGGAGGCCTTGTCTCCTCTATTCAGTTCAGCATCTTTGTGTTTGTGTTGCTTGCCTTGGTAAATGTGCTTGTGTGTTAGGAGATACTGTGCCAATTAATGTCTTCGGATTCTCTCTGTTTCTCTGTTGTATCCTTGGTTTCCTGCTTTTGTTTATCGCTCTAAGTCCCTTGCTCCCAGAGGGCTGTGAGGCAGGTTGACAGTGGAAAGGCACGGAGCTAAAGAACACGACTGAAGCTTGTGTTCCAGATATTTTTTTTTATAGAGTCTTAGCAAACTACCGTGTCTCACTGCCTCTGCAGCCCTGCCAATTTGTCCTGCCACTGTCACTCCTCGTCTATCTCTATCTCTCATCACCCATGGCTTCAGCTTAAAGCCGTGTGTGTGTGTGTGTGTGTGTGTGTGTGTGTGTGTGTGTGTGTGTGTGTGTGTGTGTGTGTGTGTGTGTGTGCGTATGAGCGAGTGCTTGTGCATCCCACTGGGCACAGACATCAATTCAACGTCTGTTCCACGTTGGTTCAACGTAATTTCATTGAAATGACGTGGAAACAACATTCATTCAACCAGTGTGTGCCCAGTGGGAGGTGTTGCTGTAGGTTTTCCACTCTGAAAAAAAAAGGTGTTGAGTTGAGCCTAAATATTGTCATATGCTTCTTTTTATTTTATTTTTTATTTCACCTTTATTTAACCAGGTAAGCCAGTTGAGAACAAGTTCTCATTTACAACTGCGACCTGGCCAAGATAAAGCTTCATACTCACACTGTTCCTTCTCCTCTCCCTTTGTAACCCTGTCACACACCCTCCCCCCTCTCCCTTTGTAACCCTGTCACACACCCCCCTCCTCTCCCTTTAACCCGTCACACCCCCCTCCTCCCCCTTGTAACCCTGTCCACACCCCCTCCTTCCCTTTGTAACCCTTCACACACCCCCTCCTCTCCCTTTGTAACCCTGTCACACACCCCCTCCTCTCCCTTTGTAACCCTGTCACACACCCCCTCCTCTCCCTTTGTAACCCTGTCACACACCCCCTCCTCTCCCTTTGTAACCCTGTCACACACCTCCCCCCTCTCCCTTTGTACCCGTCACACACCTCCCTCCTCTCCCTTTGTAAACCCTGTACACACACCCCTCCTCTCCCTTTGTAACCTGCAACAACACCCCTCCCCCCTCTCCCTTTGTAAACCCTGTCACAACCCCCTACAAAACCCTTTGTAACCCTGTTCACACACCCACTCCTCTCCCTTTGTAACCCTGTCACAGACCCCTCCATCTCCCTTGGGAACCCTGGTCAGACCCCCTCCCCCCTTCTCCCTTTGTAACCCTGTTCACTACCCACCCTCCTCTCCTTTAACCTGTCACCACTCCTCCCTCTCTCTCCCTTTGTAACCCTGTCACACCCTCTCCCCTCCCCTAACCTCACAACCTCCCTCCTCTTCCCTTTGTAACCCTGTCACACCACACCCCCCTCGTCCCTTTGTACCCTGTCCACACCTCGACTGCCTTCTCGCCTTGCAACCCAGTCACCACCTTCCCCTCCCCTTTGAACCCTGTCCACACACCCTCCCTCCTCTCCTTTGTAACCCTGTCACAAACCCTGCTCCTCTAACCCTGTAACCCTTCACACCCCTCCTCTCCCCTTTGTAACCCTGTCACACACCTCCCCCTCTCCTTTGTACCCGTCACACCCCCTCCTCTCCTTGTAACCTGTCACACCCCCTCCTCTCCCTTTGTAACCGTCACACACCTCCTCCTCTCCCTTTTCACGAATAATACTGCAACCTAGTTGCTAGCTAATAAACTAGGTTCTATTCCTAGAAACATTGAACCGCTGTAGTTACAACAATTATAGTTTCTGAGGTGGAAGTTGGGAGAGTTATATTTGGGAGTTGTGGTGAGGGAGGCCCCGCTCTCTCCTTTCCCAGATGTTTAGTTCATTTTATTCCGATCTCCTCTGCATTATTGTAGCCATCTGCTGCAGCCTGTCAACTATGCCTCTGCCTATCCCTGTTCTCTCCTCTCCGCACAGGCTACACAAACGCCTCACACCGCGTGGCTGCTGCCTCTCTAACCTGGTGGTCCCTGCACGCACAACCCACGTGGAGTTCCAGGTCTCAGGCAGCCTCTGGAACTGCCGTTCTGCTGCCAACAAGGCAGACTTCATCCCAGCCTATGCTACCCTCCAGTCCCTCGACTTCTTGGCGCTGACGGAAACATGGATTACCACTGAAAACACTGCTACTCCTGCTGCTCTCTCCTCGTCTGACCATGTGTTCTCGCATACCCCGAGAGCATCTGGTCAGCGGGGTGGTGGCACAGGAATCCTCATCTCTCCCAAGTGGACATTCTCAATTTTTCCCCTGACCCATCTGTCTATCTCCTCATTTGAATTCCATGCTGTCACAGTCACTAGCCCATTTAAGCTTAATATCCTTGTCATCTATCGCCCTCCAGGTTCCCTTGGAGAGTTCATCAATGAGCTTGACGCCTTGATAAGTTCCTTTCCTGAGGATGGCTCACCCCTCACAGTTCTGGGGGATTTCAACCTCCCTACGTCTACATTTGACTCATTTCTCTCTGCCTCCTTCTTTCCACTCCTCTCCTCTTTGACCTCACCCTCTCACCGTCCCCCCCTACTCACAAGGCAGGCAATACGCTTGACCTCATCTTTACTAGATGCTGTTCTTCTACTAATCTCACTGCAACTCCCCTCCAAGTCTCCGACCACTACTTTGTATCCTTTTCTCTCTCCCTCTCCTCCAAGACTATTCACTCTGCCCCTACACAGATGGTAATGCGCCGTCGCAACCTTCGCTCTCTCTCTCCCGCTACTCTCTCCTCTTCCATCCTATCATCTCTTCCCTCTGCTCAATCCTTCTCCCTCCAATCTCCTGATTCTGCCTCCTCAACCCTCCTCTCCTCCCGTTCTGCATCCTTTGACTCTCTATGTCCCCTATCCTCCCGGCCGGCCCGGTCCTCCCCTCTAGCTCCGTGGCTTGATGACTCATTGCGAGCTCACAGAACAGAGCTCCGGGCAGCTGAGCGGAAATGGAAGAAAACTAGACTCCCTGCAGACCTGGCATCTTTTCACTCCCTCCTCTCTACATTTTCGTCATCTGTTTCTGCTGCTAAGGCCACTTTCTACCACTCTAAATTCCAAGCATCCGCCTCTAACCCTAGGAAGCTCTTTGCCACATTCTCCTCCCTGCTGAATCCCCCCCCCCCCCCTCCTCCCTCTCTGTGGATGACTTCGTCAACCATTTTGAAAAGAAGGTTGACGACATCCGATCCTCGTTTGTTAAGTCAAATGACACTGCTGGTCCTGCTCACACTGCCCTACCCTATGCTTTGACTTCTTTCTACCCTCTCTCTCCAGATAAAATCTTACGACTTGTGACGGCAGGCCGCCCAACAACCTGCCCGCTTGACCCTATCCCCTCCTCTCTTCTCCAGACCGTCTCTGGTGACCTTCTCCCTTACCTCACCTCGCTGATCAACTCATCCTTGACCGCTGGCTATGTCCCTTCCGTCTTCAAGAGAGCGAGAGTTGCACCCCTTCTCAAAAAACCAACACTCGATCCCTCTGATGTCAACAACTACAGACCAGTATCCCTTCTTTCTTTTCTCTCCAAAACTATTGAGCGTGCCGTCTTTAGCCAACTCTCTTGCTATCTCTCTCAGAATGACCTTCTTGATCCAAACCAGTCAGGTTTCAAGACTGGTCATTCAACTGAGACTGCTCTTCTCTGTGTCACAGAGGCTCTCCGCACTGCTAAAGCTAACTCTCTCTCCTCTGCTCTTGTCCTTCTAGACCTGTCTGCTGCCTTTGATACTGTGAACCATCAGATCCTCCTCTCCACCCTCTCCGAGCTGGGCATCTCCGGCGCGGCTCACTCTTGGATTGCGTCCTACCTGACCGGTCGCTCCTACCAAGTGGCGTGGCGAGAAGCTGTCTCCGCACCACGTGCTCTCACCACTGGTGTCCCCCAGGGCTCAGTTCTAGGCCCTCTCCTATTCTCGCTATACACCAAGTCACTTGGCTCTGTTATATCCTCACATGGCCTCTCCTATCATTGCTACGCTGACGACACACAACTAATCTTCTCCTTTCCCCCTTCTGATAACCAGGTGGCGAATCGCATCTCTGCATGTCTGGCAGACATATCAGTATGGATGACGGATCACCACCTCAAGCTGAACCTCGGCAAGACGGAGCTGCTCTTCCTCCCGGGGAAGGACTGCCCGTTCCATGATCTCGCCATCACGGTTGACAACTCCGTTGTGTCCTCCTCCCAGAGTGCGAAGAGCCTTGGCGTGACCCTGGACAACACCCTGTCGTTCTCCGCTAACATCAAGGCGGTGACCCGATCCTGTAGGTTCATGCTCTACAACATTCGGAGAGTACGACCCTGCCTTACACAGGAAGCGGCACAGGTCCTAATCCAGGCACTTGTCATCTCCCGTCTGGATTACTGCAACTCGCTGTTGGCTGGGCTCCCTGCCTGTGCCATTAAACCCCTACAACTCATCCAGAATGCCGCAGCCCGTCTGGTGTTCAACCTTCCCAAGTTCTCTCACGTCACCCCGCTCCTCCGCACACTCCACTGGCTTCCAGTTGAAGCTCGCATCTGCTACAAGACCATGGTGCTTGCCTACGGAGCTGTGAGGGGAACGGCACCTCCGTACCTTCAGGCTCTGATCAGTCCCTACACCCAAACGAGGGCACTGCGTTCATCCACCTCTGGCCTGCTGGCTCCCCTACCTCTGCGGAAGCATAGTTCCCGCTCAGCCCAGTCAAAACTGTTCGCTGCTCTGGCACCCCAATGGTGGAACAAGCTCCCTCACGACGCCAGGACAGCGGAGTCACTCACCACCTTCCGGAGACATTTGAAACCCCACCTCTTTAAGGAATACCTGGGATAGGATAAAGTAATCCTTCTACCCCCCCCCCCCCCCTTTACTCCACCCCCACCCACCCCCCCCCCCCAAAAAAAAACAAAACAAACATTGTAAAGTGGTTATCCCACTGGCTATAAGGTGAATGCACCTATTTGTAAGTCGCTCTGGATAAGAGCGTCTGCTAAATGACGTAAATGTAAATGTAAATGTAACCCTGTCACACACCCTCCCTCCTCTCCCTTTGTAACCCGTCACACACCTCCCTCCTCTCCCTTTGTAACCCTGTCACACACCTCCCTCTTCTCTCCCTTCTCCACGTTTCTCCTCTCGACTCTCACCATCTCCCTCACTTATTCTCTGTCTGTCTTTCTCCTCTTCCCTTCTCCTTCTCCCTCCTTTATTTTCATTACATTTCTCTTTCTCTCTTTCCTTACTCCCTGTTTTCTCACCAACTCTCCCTCTCCACTCTTCCTTCCTCATTATTTCACTGCTCTCCATTCCCCACCTCAGGGGGATGGGTTAAAAGCAGAAAGACACATTTCTGTGGATAAGGAATCGAAAATGAAGTCTCTCTCTCTCTCTCTGTGTAGTGTTGCTGCGTGAGGAGGTGGCCCAGCTGCAGGAAGAGGTGCACCTGTTGAGGCAGATGAAGGACATGTTGAGTAAGGACCTCGAGGAGACCCAGGGCGGCTGCTCCTCCCACCTCCTCTCTGCCACTGAGCTCCGCGTGCAGATGGGAGACAAGGAGCAGGAGCTGGACCGCGCCAAAGAGGCGTTACAAGGTCAGGGGGAAACCTGTTGTATTCACCTATTAGCCTGCTAGTACTACCTGAGTCCTACCCTATTGTTTTACCTGACTCCTACCCTACTGTCCTACCCTGCTAGTCCTACCTGAGTCCTACCCCTACTGTCCTATCTGAGTCCTACCTGAGTCCTACCCTACTGTCCTATCTGAGTCCTACCCTACTGTCCTACCCTGCTAGTCCTACCTGAGTCCTACCCTACTGTCCTACCCTGATAGTACTACCTGAGTCCTACCATACTGTCCTACCCTGCTAGTCCTACCTGAGTCCTACCATACTGTCCAACCTGAGTCCTACCCTACTATCCTACCCTACTGTCCTACCTGAGTCATATCCTACTGTCCTAGCCTGCTAGTCCTACCTGAGTCCTACTCTAATGTCCTACCCTACTGTCCTACCTGAGTTCTACCCTGCTAGTCCTATCTGAGTCCTACCGTACTGTCCTACCTGAGTCCTACCCTACTGTCCTACCCTGATAGTCCTACCTGACTCCTACCCTACTGTGCTACCTGAGTCCTAACCCTGCTAGTCCTATCTGAGTCCTACCCTACTGTCCTACCTGAGTCCTACCCTACTGTCCTACCCTGATAGTCCTACCTGACTCCTACCCTACTGTCCTACCTGAGTCCTACCCTACTGTCCTACTGGTTGTATTCAACCTCTGACACTAGCGCCTCTATTTAAGTTGCGCAGTTGTAGGCTATTTCACACCCCACATGCATTAAAGGGCTGATTTTGACCATATGGTAAATTAGGGGCATTTCAAAGGTTGTTCACGAACACTGAGGCTGAGAACGATTTATATTTATCAATGGTTATCTCCTACCGGTATGCAAATGGTGTAGGATTGTTTGATAAATCACACTTTTTCTATGCATACAAACATTCAACATTTTGTGCGTAAGTAGTATTTTAGAAACATTCAAAGACCGTTTTGGTACACCAGAAGTACATTAATTTCCAATAGATCGCTACGTTTGCCTTGCAGCATTGTGTTGCAGAGGCAGTTGCATTGCGTTCTGTGTTCTGTGTGGTGCATACGATTTATCCAACATATGCATCAAATTGTATGCGTAGACTTGACAGAAATATTAGCAAAAGGTGAATGTTTAACTTTCGTTGCACACATATCCAGTAAAACATTTGGATTATATAATGAAAAAAAATTTGACTGCAGAATTGATTATGCAGCATTGATGCAATGAGGCATCAGGCCTAATATCCTACACAGCTATCTGAGCCCTGCCACACCCATTTAAAGCCCCATATGTTTCTCACACAGCTCAGTCAAACCCACTTAATCTCACTAGAGATATCAGTTTATCACTCAACACATCGATCAGTCGATCCCTTGAAAAATTGTATCTGACCTAAATGTGTCTGGTATGCCCCATATGTTTACCAGTGGAGGCTCCTCAAAGAAGGAAGGGGAGGACCAATCTCCTCAGTAAAGTTCATAAAAATAAAAATAGTGAAACATTTAAAATGTTATCCTTTTTAGATAAAACTATACTAAATATATTCACATCACCAAATAATTGATTGAAACACACTGTTTTGCAATGAATGTCTACAGTAGCCTCAGCAGCACTCTGAAAGGTATCACCATGGTGACAGCTAGCTTCTGTCCTCCTTTGGGAACATTGACTTCAATACAAAACCGAGGAGGCTCATCATGGTTCTCACCCCCTTCCATAGACTTACACAGTAATTATGACAACTTCTGGAGGACATCCTCCAACCTATCAGAGCTCTTGCAGCATGAACTGACATGTTGTCCACCCAATCAAAGGATCAGAGATTGAATCTAGTACTGAAAGCATAAGCTACAGCTAGCTAGCACTGCAGTGCATAACATGTGGTGAGTGGTTGACTCAAAGAGAGAGAAAGACAACAGTTGAACAAATTAATTTCTTCCAAAATTAAGAAGAAGCTAGAGAGAGAGAGAGTGCTAGCTTACTGCTTACAGTATTCTGTACTGCATGATTGTAGCGTGTTTACTAACACATTAGTTATAGTAGCTATGTTGACTATGACGTGACAACGATGTAGGCTGTGTGTAGCGGTTAGCGCGCATGATATGAATGTTTGGCTTGAACGTTTTTTTCACCTGGTCACAGACAGCTGATGTGTTGTGCACTGAAGTCCACAAGCGAAGGGAAAAGGTGAGAGGAGGCGAGCGCGTAGATAGATGCGAGAATGAATTATATATACAATGAGCTGTTTGTATGCTCCGTGTGATCAGTAGTTGTGTGGAGTCGACTCCAAAAATCCTGGAGTCGTGCACCATTGCTGATCAGGGATGTATTCATTGTGCCGATTCTGTTGAAAAACGTCTCTTAAACGGAAGCAAATGGAACAAAATGGGGATTAACATACCTGAATTTGTCCAATAGAAACTCTTGTTTGCAACTGTTAGACTAATGATTACACCCTAGATCAGCTAGATGCAGGCAAGAGTGTGCAAGGCAGCGTTGCCAACTCATCAGTAAGGAAAGTAGCTATTGGCTGTCCTAAAAGTCGCTAGAAGTCGCTAAATGACGTCATCACCTAATTTGCATAATTGTCAATGTGCATGTAATTGTGATGGATGCTGTAGGAGAGAGGAATAATGTCGTGGGAGAGACAAAAAGTGAGTAAAAACACCCTATATTTACATCCCGCCCTGAATGTAAGCCAGGGCAGGATCAGCCAGCGGCGGCTTCCCGCATGCGCGATTCATTTGCAGTCTGGACGCGGAGGGGTGAACATCTCCTGCTCTGACTGCAGCTGGGAGGGACTGCTGCGCGAGGACTGGGCCACCTGTGAGTGCTTTGGGATGGGGGTGGGGCCCACGGGGGTGGCGGCAGCACCCGCTGCTCGTTGAGAAGAGTAAGAACGATATGTGCTTTCACGTCAGAGTCTCCAAAAGTCTACAATAACACCAGAAAAAGTCACTAGATGTGTCGCTAGATTTGTCGCTAGTCGCGTTTTTGAAAATGTATCGCTAGAGGGGTCTGAAAACTCGCTAAATATAGCGACAAAGTCGCTAAATTGGCAACACTGCAAGGCGGTATTGACTGTGTCACTGTCTGTCACCTTGATTACCCAAAATTCTCTCAACCTGTGCACCTACGTTGTAAACAGTGGTGTAAAGTACTTCAGTAAAAATACTTAAAAGTACTACTTAAGTAGTTTTTTGGGGTATCTGTACTTTACTTTACTATTTATATTTTTGACAACTTTTACTTCACTACATTCCTAAAGAATATTATGTACTTTTTACTCCATACATTTCCCTGACACCCAAAAGTACTCATTACATTTGAATGCTTAGCAGGTCAGGGAAATTGTCTAATCCACACACTTATCAAGAGAACATCCCTGGTCATTCCTACTGCCTCTGATCTGGCGGACTCACTAAACACATGCTTCATTTGTAAATGATGTCTTAGTGTTGGAGTGTGCCCCTGGCTATCCGTATTTTTTTTTAAAACAAGACAATGGTGCCGTCTGGTTTGCTTAATATAAGGAATTTGAAATGATTTATACTTTTAGTTTAGATACTTAAGTATATTTTAGCAATTACATTTACTTTTGGTATTTAAGTATATTTAAAACCAAATACTTTTAGATTTTTACTCAAGTAGGATTTTACTGGGTGACTTTCACTTTTACTTGAGTCATTTTCTATTAAGAGTCATTTTCTATTAAAGGTATCTTTACTTTTACTCAAGTATGGCAATTGGGTACTTTTTCCACCACCTTCCTCATGATCATTGATGCCCCACGAGGTGAGATCTTGAATGGAGCCCCAGACCGAGGGTGATTGACCGTCATCTTGAACTTCTTCCATTTTCTAATAATTGCGCCAACAGTTGTTGCCTTCTCACCAAGCTGCTTGCCTATTGTCCTGTAGCCCATCCCAGCCTTATGCAGGTCTACAATTTTATCCCTGATGTCCTTACACAGCTTTCTAGTCTTGGCCATTGTGGAGAGGTTGGAGTCTGTTTGATTGAGTGTGTGGACAGGTGTATTTTATACAGGTAATGAGTTCAAACAGGTGCAGTTAATACAAGTTATGAGTGGAAAACAGGAGGGCTTCTTAAAGAAAAACTAACAGCTCTGTGAGAGCCGGAATTCTTACTGGTTGGTAGGTGATCAAATACTTATGTCATGCAATAAAATGCTAATTAATTATTTAAAAATCATACAATGTGATTTTCTGGATTTTTGTTTTAGATTCCGTCTCTCACAGTTGAAGTGTACCTATGATAAAAATTACAGACCTCTACATGCTTTGTAAGTAGGAAAACCTGCAAAATCGGCAGTGTATCAAATACTTGTTCTCCCCTCTGTATAAGTCAATACTTTCTGCCTGATCCGTCCTTCCACAGTGTCAGTAATGAGATCTGTTCATTAGTCTACTTGGCTCTAGTCTAGGCTCAGTTCCTTTAAGGTTGAGTTCCATAAATGGTAGCACACAGGCCTTGTTTGAAGATATATATTTTTTTGGCTTGTAGTGTAATGTTATGTATAGTATGTGGTGGTGAGAGGAGACAGCTTGTCATCATAGCTGTGGCCAAGTGTGGTTTCTCTTGTGAAACCAACCCCTATTACTCCTACCCCAAATAAATATTTGACAGGAGAAAATGCTCTGGAGCATGAAGTCATGAGCTCTGCTGATCGGCAACTACATAGCAACCTAGCAGTGTCAAAAGCCCTGGGGCCTCATTTACCGATGATGTGTAGGCACAAATCTGTGCGTAAACCATGCGTTGGATAATTTCAATGCAAAGTGTGAGATTTATCAATATGAATGTTTGGTTGAGAGTGTGCGTAAATGTATGCACAGCCATGACCATGCCTACGCACAGTGCCAAGTGGTGGAATAAGGGCACTGCTTGTCAAGCATAGCCTAGTGAATGGGGAGAATATATGTTGAAAATGTGTGAAATTGTGAGAGTAATATTTTTTTATCGATTTCTTTGTATTTACATTGTGAATTCATGCAACATATCTTGACAGACTATATCATATAATTTGACCACATTAGTGCATTTGTTACGATAATAATCCATATAAAGTACAGTAATTTGTTAAATTAGAGTCACTTGGGAAAGTTAAACCCTTGTTGAAATACTATAAAAGACTGAGATAATGGGAAATTAAATGAGAGATGTCTACTCTTGCTCTGTTGGAAGATTTGGCACAAGCTGCATTTAGCAGAGACCACATGTTTTGAGACAGGTGAGACTTTTTTGCAGAAAGTACAGATTGGCTCATCAGATAGTTTTCCAAAACCAATTTTATAGGATTTTTTGCAAGGATTTAAGATCTACTTTGGAAAGGCAAACACATGCCATTACAGTGCTATCCACCCTTGGGTTTTTTCCACGGGCACTTTTCAGCGGGAGCTTGACGATTGGCATCTCACAGCTCTCGATGAGCAGATGTTTTGGATGTAAACCAATTTCCGAACACAATCGCACAACAGGTTGAAGTCAAGAAAGGTTTCTTTGCCATCAATGGGTTCCAAAATACGAACGGAGCAATAGACGACACCCACATCGCCATAAAAGCACAATCCCAAAACGAGTTCAACAATGTGAACAGAAAAGGCTTCCACTCACTTAATGTGCAGCTGATAGGTTGTGTGATGGACAAAAGATGTTGCTGTATGTGGTGGCCAGGTGGAATGCACGACTCATTCATTCTGCAGAATAGCAATGTTGGCCTATACACCTACAGGAGGGATCTGTTGAGGATAGATGGCTTATTGGTGTATTATCTATTCATTTGAAGAATATTTGCCATTACTAAAACAACTTGAATTGTCCTAATTGTCCTCTCTTGTTGCAATAGTTTTTTTTTTACTGGTCTGAACAGCCAAATAAAACATTTTGGTTGTAATCAACCTTTGACACTAGCACCTCTTTCAGTCTCGGAAGAGTAATTTTTTTTGTGTGCTTTTTTTTGGTTGTGTGGCTGTATTTCATGGTAAAGCGTTGTATATTCCTCACGGGCTTTAAAGGGATGATTTTGACCATCTGTGGTTAATTAGGGGCGTTTTGAAATGCAAATGGCCAAGGTCTGAGGCTGAGAAGGATTGGTATTTATCAATGGTGATCTCCTACCGGTGTGCATATGATGGCCGTAGGATTATTTGATATACCACACTTTGTCTATGCATCCAAACATTCTAAATTCCGTTCATTAGTAGTATTTTACTAAAATACTACTTATGAAAGGAATTTTGAATGTTTCTAAAATACTACTTACGCACAAAATGTAGAATGTTTGTATGCATAGAAAAAGTGTGATTTATCAAACAATCCTACACCGGTAGGAGATAACCATTGATAAATATACATTGTTCTCAGCTTCAGTGTTCGTGCACAACCTTTGAAATGCCCCTAATTTACCATATGGTCAAAATCATCCCTTTAATGCATGTGGGGCGTGAAATAGCCCTACAACTGCGCAACTAAAATAGAGGTGCTAGTGTCAGAGGTTGAATACAACCAAAAGGTTTTATTTGTCTCGCTCAATTGTGGCTTGACCAGTAAAAAGCTAAAACATTTTTATTTTTTTATTTTACCTTTATTTAACTAGGCAAGTCAGTTAAGAACAAATTCTTATTTACAATGACGGCCTACACCGGCCAAACCCGGACGACGCTGGGCCAATTGTGTGCCGCCCTATGGGATAGCTACAAAGAGAAGACCATTAAGACAATTAGTTGTTTTAGCAATGTCAAATATACTTCAAAAAAGGAGGCAACACTCACCAATAAGCCATCAATCCTCAACAGCTCCCTACTGTAGGCGTATAGGCCGACATTGCGGTTCTACAGAATGAACGAGTCCCACCTGTCTCTAAAAACACACACTGCACTCAACCTTGTCTCAGAGCATTTCATATTATTCAAATCAAATCAAATATTGGACCTAGACTTGGCGCTCCGGTACCAATTGCTGTGCGGTAGCAGAGAGAACAGTCTATGACTTGGGTGACTGGAGTCTTTGACAATTTCTTGGGCCTTCCTCTGACACCGCTTAGTATATAGGTCCTGGGTGGCAGGAAGCTTGGCCCCAGTGATGTACTGGTCCGTACGCACTACCATCTGTAGCGCCTTACGGTTGGATGCCGAGCAGTTGCCATACCAGGCTGTGATGCAACTGGTCAGGATGCTCTCGAAGGTGCAGTTGTAGAACTTTTTGAGGATCTGGGGACACATGCCAAATATTTTCTGTCTCCTGAGGGGGAAAAGGCGTTGTCGTGCCCTTTTCACAACTTTCTTGGTGTGTTTGGACCATGATAGTTTGTTGGTGATGTGGACACTGAGGAACTTCAAACTCTTGACCTGCTCCACTACAGCCCCGTCGATGTGAATGGGTGCGTGTTCGGCCCTCCTTTTCCTGTAGTCCATGATCATCTCCTTTGTCTTGCTCATGTTGAGGTAGAGGTTGTTGTCCTGGCACCACACTGCCAAGTCTCTGACCTCCTCCCTATAGGCTGTCTCATCATTGTCGGTGATCAGGCCTACCACCGTTGTGTCGTCAGTAAACTTAATGATGGTGTTGGAGTCGTGCTTGGCCACGCAGTCGTGGGTGAACAGGGAGTACAGGAGGGGACTAAGCACTCACCCCTGAGGGGCCCCCGTGTTGAGGATCAGCGTATGTGTTGTTGGCTACCCTTACCACCTGGGGGCGGCCCGTCAGGAAGTCCAAGGATCTAGTTGCAGAGGGAGGTGTTTAGTCCCAGGGTCCTTAACTTAGTGATGAGCTTTGAGGGCACTATGGTGTTGAACACTGAGCTGTAGTCAATGAACAGCATTCTCACATAGGTGTTCCTTTTGTCCAGAGGTGTTCCTTTTGTTCCTTCTGTATGTAAATCCGAGACGCTCCATTTAGTATGATATGTTACGTTTCGTATGGTATTTATTAATTTGTGGATGTCCATCATCCATTTCGTATGATATGTTACGAATTACAATTCGTATGATATGTTACGAATTTGCAACACGTACAATATGTTACGAATTTGCAAAACATACTTTATGTTACGAATTCTCAAAAACGTATGATATGCTACGAATTCTAGCTAGGTGGCTAACGTTAGGGTTTAAGGTTAGGGGTCAGGGTTAAGGTTAGGGTGATGGGAAGGGTTAGCTAAAGGGGTTAGAGTTAGGGGGAGGGTTAGCTAAAAGGGTTAGGGTTAGGGAAAGGGTTAGCTAACATGGTAAGCAGTTGCAAAGTAGCTAAAAAGTAGGTAGTGAGCAGGTAGTGTCTTTCACTTACAAAAAAACTGAACAAGGTTGTCTCCCACAATGCTTTGGTTCTGACTTCAAGTTGCAGTTGATGAAGAGCAACTGCAGACATTTTCAGTCGAATGCAATTTCTACATTTTTTTATACCCATAACGCAACACACTTTGAAAGGCGCTGGCCAACGTTGGTCAACACCTTTAAAAAAGTGATCTGCTCGAATGCGCCCAATGATAATTCACACACTTTGCATGGAAATGATCCCACACATGGTTTATGCACAGATTTGTGCCTATGCGTGATTGAGAAATGAGGCCCCTGGTCTGCCCTTGAAAGCCTATGTAAATTTGAATCACCAGAATGGCCAAAATGAAATTAGATGTCTGTTTTGGGCTCTACAGTCGTGGTCAAAGGTTTTGAGAATGACACAAGTATTGGTCTTCACAAAGTTCGCTGCTTCAGTGTTATGAGATATTTTTGTCAGATGTTACTATGGTATACTGAAGTATAATTACAAGCAGTGTCAAAGGCTTTTATTGACAATTACATTAAGTTTAGGCAAAGAGTCAATATTTGCAGTGTTGACCCTTCTTTTTCAAGACCTCTGCAATCCGCCCTGGCATGCTGTCAATTAACTTCTGGGCCACATCCTGACTGATGGCAGCCCATTCTTGCATAATCAATGCTTGGAGTTTGTCAGAATTTGTGGGTTTTTGTTTGTCCACCCGCCTCTTGAGGATCGACCACATGTTCTCAATGGGATTAAGGTCTGGGGAGTTTCCTGGCCATGGACCCAACACTTCGATGTTTTGTTCCTCGAGCCACTTAGTTATCACTTTTGCCTTATGGCAAGGTGCTCCATCATGCTGGAAAAGGCATTTGTCGTCACCAAACTGTTCTTGGATGGTTGGGAGAAGTTGCTCTCGGAGGATGTGTTGGTACCATTCTTTATTCATGGCTGTGTTCTTAGGCAAAATTGTGAGTGAGCCCACTCCCTTGGCTGAGAAGCAACCCCACACATGAATAGTCTCAGGATGCTTTACTGTTGGCATGACACAGGACTGATGGTAGCGCTCACCTTGTCTTCTCCGGACAAGGGGTTTTCCGGATGCCCTAAACAATCGGAAAGGGGATTCATCAGAGAAAATTACTTTACCCTAGTCCTCAGCAGTCCAATCCCTGTACCTTTTGCAGAATATCAGTCTGTCCCTGATGTTTTTCCTGGAGAGAAGTGGCTTCTTTGCTGCCCTTCTTGACACCAGGCCATCCTCCAAAAGTATTCACTCACTGTGCGTGCAGATGCACTCGCACCTACCTGCTGCCATTCCTGAGCAAGCTCTGCACTGGTGGTGCCCCGATCCCGCAGCTGAATCAAGTTTAGGAGACGGTCCTGGCGCTTGCTGGACTTTCTTGGGCGCCCTGATGCCTTCTTCACAACAATTGAACCTCTCTCCTTGAAGTTCTTGATGATCCGATAAATGGTTGATTTAGGTGCAATCTTGCTAGCAATATCCTTGCCTGTGAAGCCCGTTTTGTTTCCTTGCAGGTAACCATGGTTAACAGAGGAAGAACAATGATTTCAAGCACCACCCTCCTTTTAAAGCTTCCAGTCTGTTATTCTAACTCAATCAGCATGACAGAGTGATCTCCAGCCTTGTCCTCGTCAACACTCTCACCTGTGTTAACAAGAGAATCACTGACATGATGGCAGCTGGTCATTTTGTGGCAGGGCTGAAATGCAGTGGAAATGTTTTTTTGGGATTAAGTTCATTTTCATGGCAAAGAGGGACTTTGCAATTAATTGCAATTCATCTGATCACTCTTCATGACATTCTGGAGTATATGCAAATTGTCATCATCAAAACCGAGGCAGCAGACTTTGTAAAAATTAGTATTTGTGTCATTCTCAAAACTTTTGACCACGACTGTAAAATGTGTTTATTATGATGAAGTTCAATCCCAACTATGAATTATTTTAAAGTTTGCTACAAATCGAGATATTTAATTAAATAGTGAGCCATTCTGACTACATTTGTCATCACGCACGACCAAGTGCTGACACAGTCAAATCACGGGCCGGCATGCTACGAGGAGGCTCCCGGTTGACTGTCTCAGGTAGGATGAAAACAACGACATCCGCCATGATTCTTTGCTAGTTACATTCACTTTCACCATGATCTTTAGCGATTTCTTTGGTGCAATTCAACTCCATTCAGCAATATGGCGCGCTTCAAATTCAAATACTTCCCGCTTCATGAGGCATCGGTAGTTTTCCATAGGAATACATGGATGATCTCCATGCTATCACTAGCTACTGGTTTTAATGTCTATGTGTTAAACCCAAAGAGAGCAAAGTTAACAGTGTCAAATTTTCTTGTTTAAATTGGCATTGAAAACTAATTTTTACCTCATCCCCTGATAAGGCAGACTGGCTGTGTGTAGAATGCCAGCAGCGTGAGCACCTAAAGAAGAAAAAACCTATCACTTCTGTTTCATCTCTCTAACCTCCCCCATCTATCCCTCCTTCCCTCCTCTGTCTTCCGATCAGGGAGCAACAGGTGGCAGTCAGCGTGCTCATTACTGTGGCGCTCTCTGGTGTAACTGTTGAAGAACAGGTTTGAATGTTGATTGAGGAGGGTTAAAGGCAGGAACATGTACATTGGGAATGCTTAGGCCTCAATGAATGACGGTTACGGTTATGGAGAGGACAGCTTCTACTTTGTCTTAAATAGAAAGATTCAGGAATACTTTGTTATCATGACTCACAATCTTACTCTACCTGTCAAGGCTTCACTATTTTCCTATCCACTCAATTCAGGTTAGTATTTATGGTCTCATATCCTCTCAATACAGGTTATTATTTATGGTCTCATATCCTCTCAATACAGGTTATTATTTATGGTCTCATATCCTCTCAATACAGGTTATTATTTATGTTCTCATATCTTCTCAATACAGGTTATTACTTATGGTCTCATAACCTCTCAATACAGGTTATTATTTATGGTCTCATAACCTCTCAATACAGGTTATTATTTATGGTCTCATATCCTCTCAATACAGGTTATTATTTATGGTCTCATAACCTCTCAATACAGGTTATTATTTATGGTCTCATATCCTCTCAATACAGGTTATTATTTATGGTCTCATAACCTCTCAATACAGGTTATGAGTTATGGTCTCTTATACTGAAAAGCAAACCTTGACCCTGGAAGTTGGCTGTATTAAACATGCTGCCTGTGTGGCCAATGCCATTATGCCAAGCCGTCTTTGGGAGAAGTATAGTGAACATAGTCCCCACATCAGTCTGTGTGTTTAGGTGTTTTGAATGACTATGTGCCTCTCTGCCACTTACCGTCTTAGATCATTACATAATTTACTCTGTGGTGCTTCTTTGGGATCAGTGGTGAAAAAAGTAGCCAATTGTCATACTTTAGTGAAAGTAAAGATTCTTTAATAGAAAATGACTCCAGTAAAAGTCAGTCACCCAGTAAAATACTACTTCAGTAAAAGTCTAAAAGTATTTGGTTTTAAAATATACTTAAGTATCAAAAGTAAATGTAGTTGCTCAAATATACTTAAGTATCAAAAATTCCTTATATTAAGCAAACCAGACGGCACAATTTTCATGTTTTTATTTTATTTATTTATGGATAGCCAGGGGCACACTCCAACACTCAGACATCAATTACAAACGAAGCATTTGCATTTAGTGAGTCCGCCAGATCAGAGGCAATATGACCAGAGATGTTCTCTTGATAAGTGTGTGAATTGGACCATTTTCCTGTCCTGCTAAGCATTCAAAATGTAACGAGTACTTTTGGGTGTCAGGGAAAATGTATGGAGTAAAAAGTTAATTATTTTCTTTTGGAATGTAGTGAAGTAAAAGTAAAAGTTGTCAAAAATATTAATAGTAAAGTAAAATACAAATACCCCCAAAAACTACTTAAGTGGTACTTTAAAGTATTTTTACCTAAGTACTTTAATCCACTGTTTGGGATAACAATGTTGCTCTTCCTAGGATTTTACAATAAGTCACAGTGTCATCTTGTGGCAATTCAATATAACTGCATCTCTGACCCAACCTTTGGTTAAAGTCTTTAGTCCTGATTTGTGTGTGTGCATGCGTGTGTGTGTCCCACAGCTATGAAGTCTGACCGTAAGCGTCTGAAGGTGGAGAAGGCAGACCTGGTGAACCAGATGCAGCAGCTGTACACCACACTGGAGAGCCGGGAGGAGCAGCTCCGAGACTTCATACGCAACTACGACCAGCACCAAAAGGTACAGTGCACTCAACAACGACCAGCACAAAAAGGTATACTCACATTTACGCTCAACAACGACCAGCAGTGGTGGAAAAAGTACCCAATTGTAATACTTTAGTAAAAGTAAAGATACCTTAATAGAAAATGACTCAAGTAAAAGTGAAAGTCACCCAGTAGAGTTCTACTTGAGTAAAAGTCTAAAAGTATTTGGTTTTAAATATACTTAAGTATCAAAAGTAAATGTAATTGCTAAAATATACTTAAGTATCAAAGGTAAAAGTATAAGTATAAATAATTTCAATTTCCTTATATTAAGCAAACCAGATGGCACTATTTTCTTGTTTTTTTATTTACGGATAGCCAGGGGCACACTCCAACACTCAGACATAATTTATAAACAAAGCATATGTGTTTAGTGAGTCCACCAGATCAGAGGCAGTAGGGATGACCAGGGATGTTCTCTTGATAAGTGCGTGAATTTTCCTGTCTGCTAAGCACTACTTTTGGGTGTCAGGGCAAATGTATGGAGTAAAAAGTACATTATTTTCTTTTGGAATGTAGTGAATTAAAAGTTGTAAAAAATATAAATAGTGAAGTAAAGTACAGATACCCCAAAAAACTACTTAAGTAGTATTTTAAAGTATTTTTACTTAAGTACTTTACACCACTGATGACCAGCACCAAAAGGTACACTCACATTTATGCTCAACTATGACCAGCACCAAAAGGTACACTCACATTTACGTTCAACTATGACCAGCACCAAAAGGTACACTCACGTTTACTCTCAATTACGACCAGCACCAAAATGTACAATACATAATAATAATATGCCATTTAGCAGACGCTTTTATCCAAAGCGACTTACAGTCATGCGTGCATACATTTTTTTTTTGTGTGTATGGGTGGTCCCGGGGATCGAACCCACTACCTTGGCGTTACAAGCGCCGTGCTCTACCAGCTGAGCTACAGAGGACCACACTACACAGTAGACAGATCCACTCCAAATAGTTTGAAATAGTATAACTAACACACCGGGGCTTCATCGAGTAGTCATATGCCTACACGCTGGTTTGAGGCAGTGCTGGGAGTGTTGTTAGCTAATATCCACTTCCCGACGTACCAGTTAGCCTTGAGCTAGCCTCGAGCCAGGCCCATCTCCCGGCTATCTACCTCTCTGTCAACCGGACGGGACCTCCTAGTGTCGACACGGAGCCCCGCCGATCCATCACGTCTGGTCTGCCGACGTAATCGTCTGATGTGGTTTCAACAGGCTTCCCGTTGCGACGACCATGAAGATCAATCTGCTAGCCCCAGCCCGCTAGCATGCGCAATCAACAGCCGTGCCTCCTGCTCGCCTGTGCTTTAGCAGCCTACAATCTGCTCCCGGACTTACTTAGTGCTGTTCACTGGACCTTATGATCACTCAGCTACACAGCTAATGCCTGCTGGACTGTTCCTTTACACGGTACCCCATCCTGTTGATCTGTTTAGCCTCAGCCCAAACTTTCGTCGCCATTACCAGTTGTTGTCTTAGCCCTCTCGAATCTGTGATTGCGTTATGCCTCTCTCCCATGTCAATATGCCTATTGCTGTTTGGGTTAGTTCCTATTATACCATTTCACTGTAGAGCCCCAAGTTCAGCTCAACCAGCCTCAGAGAGCTCCTTTGTTCCACCCCCCATACACGCGGAGACCGGCTCAATCGGTACCTCCTGTGATGCTATCTCTTTCATAGTTACCCAATGCTTAGGTGTACCGCCACTGTACTCATATCCTTCCATATCCTTGTCTATACATAATGCCCTGAATCTATTCTACAACGCCCGGAAATCTGCCCCCTTTCTCTGTACCCAACCCACTAGAAGCCTTTAGCCATATCCTTATTATATTCCTCCTCTGTTCCTCTGGCGATGTAGAGGTTAACCCAGGCCCTGTAGCCCCCAGTATCACTCCTACCCCACAGGCGCTATCATTTGTTGACTTCTGTAACCGTAAAAGCCTTGGTTTCTTGCATATTAACATCAAAAGTCTCCTCCCCAAGTTTGAGTTATTCACTGCGTTAGCACACTCTGCCAACCCTGATGTTCTAGCAGTGTCTAAATCTTGGCTTAGGAAGGCCACCAAAAATTCAGAAATGTCCATTCCGAACTACAACATTTTCCGTCTAGATAGAACTGCCAAAGGGGGCGGAGTTGCAATCTACTGTAGAGATAGCCTGCAGAGCTCTATCATACTATCCAGGTCTGTGCCTAAACAGTTTGAGCTTCTACTTCTAAAAATCCACCTTTCCAGAAATAAGTCTCTCACTGTTGCCGCTTGCTACAGACCCCCCTCAGCCCCCAGTTGTGCCCTGGACACCATATGTGAATTGCTTGCCCCCCATCTATCCTCAGAGTTCGTACTGCTTGGTGACCTAAACTGGGATATGCTTAACACCCCGGCCATCCTACAATCTAAACTAGATGCCCTCAATCTCAAAGAAATTATCAAGGAACCTACCAGGTACAACCCTAAATCCGTAAACATGGGCACCCTCATAGATATCATCCTGACTAATTTACCCTCTAAATACACCTCCGCTGTCTTCAACCAGGATCTCAGCGATCACTGCCTCATTGCCTGCGTCCGTAATGGGTCCGCGGTCAAACGTCCACCCCTCATCACTGTCAAATGCTCCCTAAAACACTTCAGCGAGCAGGCCTTTCTAATTGTCCTGGCCCGGGTATCCTGGATGGATATTGACCTCATTCCGTCAGTAGAGGATGCCTGGAATTTCTTCAAAAGTGCTTTCCTCTCCATCTTAAATAAGCATGCCCCATTCAAAAAATTCAGAACTAAGAACAGATATAGCCCCTGGTTCACTCCAGACTTGACTGCCCTTGACCAGCACAAAAACATTGTGTGGCGTACTGCATTAGCATCGAACAGCCCCCGCGATATGCAACTTTTCAGGGAAGTCAGGAACCAATATACACAATCAGTTAGGAAAGCAAATGCTAGCTTTTTCAAACAGAAATTTGCATCCTGTAGCTCTAACTCCAAACAGTTTTGGGACACTGTAAAGTCCATGGAGAATAAGTGCACCTCCTCCCAGCTACCCACTGCACTGAGGCTAGGAAACACTGTCACCACCGATAAATCTACGATAATCAAGAATTTCAATAAGCATTTTGCTACGGCTGGCCATGCTTTCCACCTGGCTACCCCTACCCCGGCCACCAGCTCTGCACACTCCGCTGCAACCCCCCCCCCCCCCCGCTTCTCCTTCACCCAAATTCAAATAGCTGATGTCCTGAAAGAGTTGCTAAATCTGGACCCCTACAAATCAGCTGGGCTAGACAATCTGGACCCCTTCTTTCTAAAATTAGCCGCGGAAATTGTCGCAACCCCTATTACTAGCCTGTTGAACCTCTCTTTCGTATCGTCTGAGATCCCCAGAGATTGGAAAGCTGCCGCGGTCATCCCCCTCTTCAAAGGGGGTGACACTCTTGATCCAAACTGTTACAGACCTATATCCATCCTGCCCTGCCTTTCAAAAGTATTTGAAAGCCTATTTAACAAACAGATCACCGACCATTTTGAATCCCACCGTACTTTCTCCGCTATGCAATCTGGTTTTCCGAGCTGGTCATGGGTGCACCTCAGCCACGCTCAAGGTCCTAAATGATATAATAACCGCGATCGATAAAAGACAGTACTGTGCAGCCGTCTTCATCAACCTGGCCAAGGCTTTTGACTCTGTCAATCAACGCATTCTTATTGGCAGACTAAATAGCCTTGGTTTCTCAAATGACTGCCTTGCCTGGTTCACCAACTACTTCTCAGATAGAGTTCAATGTGTCAAATCGGAGGGCCTGTTGTCTGGACCTCTGGCAGTCTCTATGGGGGTGCCACAGGGTTCAATTCTCGGGCAGACTCTATTCTCTGTGTATATCAATGATATCGCTCTTGCGGCTGGTGACTCTCAGATCCACCTCTATGCAGACGACACCATTTTGTATACATCTGGCCCTTCATTGGACACTGTGTTAACAAACCTCCAAATGAGCTTCAATGCCATATAACACTCCTTCCATGGCCTACAACTGCTCTTAAACGCTAGTAAAACTAAATGCATGCTCTTCAATCGAACGCTGCTTGCACCCGCCCGCCCGACTAGAATCACTACTCTCGACTGGTCTGACTTAGAATATGTGGACAACTACAAATACTTTGGTGTCTGGTTAGACCGTAAACTCTCCTTCCAGACTCACATTAAGCATCTCCAATCCAAAGTTAAATCTAGAATTGGCTTCCTATTTCGCGAACAAAGCCTCCTTCACTCATGCTGCTAAACATGCCCTCGTAAAACTGACTATCCTACCGATCCTTGACTTTGGCGATGTCATTTACAAAATAGCTTCCAACACTCTACTCAGCAAATTGGATGTAGTCTATCACAGTGCCATCCGTTTTGTCACCAAAGCCCCATATACTTCCCACCATTGTGACCTGTACGTTCTCGTTGGCTGGCCCTGACTACATATTCGTCGCCAAACCCACTGGCTCCAGGTCATCTATAAATCACTTCTAGGCAAATCCCCGCCTTATCTTAGATCATTGGTCACCATAGCAACACCCACCCGTAGTATGTGTTCCAGCAAGTATATCTCACTGGTCATCCCCAAAGCCAACACCTCCTTTGGCCGCCTTTCCTTCCAGTTCTCTGCTGCAAATGACTGGAACGAACTGCAAAAATCTCTGAAGCTGGAGACACTTATCTCCCTCACTATCTTTAAGCATCAGTTGTCAGAGCAGCTTACCGGTCACTGCACCTGTACACAGCCCATTGGTAATTAGCCCACCCAACTACCTCATCCCCATATTGTTATTTACATTGTTATTTATTTTGCTAATTTGCACCCCAGTATCTCTATTTGCACATCATCTTCTGCACATCTATCACTCCAGTGTTAATACTAAATTGTAATTATTTTGCACTATGGCCTATTTATTGCCTTACCTCCATAACTTACTACATTTGCACACACTGTATATAGATTTTCTATTGGGTTATTGACTGTACGTTTTGTTTTTGTTTATTCCATATTTAACTCTGTGTTGTTGTTGTTTTTATCGCACTGCTTTGCTTTATCTTGGCCAGGTCACAGTTGTAAATGAGAACTTGTTCTCAACTGGCTTACCTGGTTAAATAAAGGTTAAATAAATAAATAAATAAAAAAAGATTGACAGTATCTGTGTTCTGTACTGTAGGAGAGTGAGGATGCGGTGAAGGCCCTGGCTAAGGAGAAGGACCTGCTGGAGAGGGAGAAATGGGATCTGAGGAGGCAGACCAAAGAGGCCACAGAGCAGGCCTGCATCCTGCGCTCTCACATGGACATGAAGGAGAACCGCATCAAAGAGCTGGAGGCTGAACTCACCATGGTGAGACATACACTCACAGGTTTTGCTCCTAATCGGAATTGCTGCATTTTTTGCATTGTTAAGGAGCCCCTTAGAGAGTCTGTTGTCTTGCCTGACTGACAGATATACTCATTATTCAGTCCATGTCCTTAATCCCTCTCCACTGCCAGACAACAGTAGACAGCCAGTCAGACAACAACAGCCAGCCAGCCCACCTCCTCTGTGGGGCTCCTCTAACTCCTCACTACACGCAGCAGCAGCAGCTGATAAGATTTCTCAGAGCTAGAATACCATATCTCTGTCTCTGTCATGTGCTCACAGCCAGAGAATGATGCTAACCTTGATGGAATGATCTGTCCCATCTAATTCCACACGCATTTCAACACACCCTGCAATTCCGAACATGTGCCTATTTTAACACGTGTGGCAGTGCTCCTGTGTGTATACACACTGAGTGTACAAAACATTAAGAACACCTTCCTAATATTGAGTTGCGCCCCCTTTTGCCTTCAGAACAGACTTAATTCGCATGGACTCTACAAGGTGTCGAAAGCGTTCCACAGGGATGTTGGCCGATGTTGACTCCAATGCTTCCCACAGTTGTGTCAAGTTGGCTGGATGTCCTTTGGGTGGTGGACCATTCCTGATACACACGGAAAACTGTTGAGCATGAAAAACCCAGCAGCGTTACAGTTCTTTACTCAAACCACTGCACCTGGCACCTACTACCATACCCCGTTCAAAGGCACTTAAATATTTTGTCTTGCCCATTCACCCTCTGAATGGCACACATACACAATCCATGTCACAAGGCTTAAAAATCCTTCTTTAACCTGACTCCTCCCATTCATCTGCACTGATTGAAGTGGGTTTAACAGGTGACATCAATAAGGGATCATAGCTTTCGCTTGGATTCACCTGGTCAGTCTATGTCACGGAAAGAGCAGGTGTTCCTAATGTTTTGTATCCTCAGTGTATGTGTTTATGATGCATCAGTGCATACATGCCTCCAAGCATGTACTGTATGTGTCTTTACCACTGTATCTTACCGCCCTGTGTGTGTGTATTTATGGCAGGCAAAACAATCCCTGTCCACGCTGACTAAGGATGTGCCGAAGCGCCAGTCCATGGCCATGCCCTCAGAGCCGGTGGTGAACGGCAGTCAGGAGTGGGCGATGCAGGGAGACCTGCCCCTCACCGCTGCCATCCGCCAGAGCCAACAGACACTCTACCACGGACACACTGTGGACCGCCAGGGTAGGCAGTGGTGTAAAGTACTTAAGTAAAAATACTTTAAAGTATTACTTAAGTAATACTATTTATATTATATATTTATATTATATACTATATATATGATTGCTGAGTGTTGAAGTGTCCCCCTGGCTATCCGTAAATTAAAAATATATACACTACCATTCAAAAGTTTGTGGTCACTTAGAAATGTCCTTGTTTTCGAAAGAAAAGCAAATATTTTGTCCGTTAAAATAACATCAAATTGATCAGAAATACAGTGTAGACATAGTAATGTTATAAATGGCTATTGTAGCTGGAAACTGCTGATTTTTTAAATGGAATATCTACAAAGGCATACAGAGGCCCACTATCAGCAACCATCAGTCCTGTGTTCCAATGGCACATTGTGCTTGCTAATCCAAGTTTATCATTTTAAAAGGCTAATTGATCATTAGAAAACCCTTTTGCAATTATGTTAGCACAGCAAAACACCAGTCTCAACGTCAACAGTGAAGAGGTGACCTTCGGAGTTGCAAAGGAAAAAGCCATATCTCAGACTGGCCAATAAAAAGAAAAGATGAAGATGGGCAGTCTGAGATATGGCTTTTTCTTTGCAACTCTGCCTAGAAGGTCAGCATCCCGGAGTTGCCTCTTCACTGTTGACGTTGAGACTGGTGTTTTGCAGGTACTATTTAATGAAGCTGCCAGCTGAGGACCTGTGAGGCGTCTGTTTCTCAAACTAGACACTCTAATGTATTTGTCCTCTTGCTCAGTTGTGCACCGAGGCCTCCCACTCCTCTTTCTATTCTGGTTAGAGCCAGTTTGCGCTGTTCTGTGAAGGGAGTAGTACACAGTGTTGTACGAGATCTTCAGTTTCTTGGCAATTTCTCGCATGGAATAGCCTTCATTTCTCAGAACAAGAATAGACTGACGAGTTTCAGAAGAATGTTCTTTGTTTCTGGCCATTTTGAGGCTGTAATCGAACCCACAATTGCTGATGCTCCAGATACTCAACTAGTCTCAAGAAGTCCAGTTTTATTGCTTCTTTAATCAGCACAACAGTTTTCAGCTGTGCTAACATAATTGCAAAAAGGTTTTCTAATGATCAATTAGCCTTTTAAAATGATAAACTTGGATTAGCAAACATTGGAACACAGGACTGATGGTTGCTGATAATGGGCCTCTGTACGCCTATGTAGATATTCCATAAAAAATCAGCCGTTTCCAGCTACAATAGCCATTTACAACATTAACAATGTCTACACTGTATTTCTGATCAATTTGATGCTATTTTAATGGACAAAAAATGTGATTTTCTTTCGAAAACAACGACATTTCTAAGTGACCCCAAACTTTTGAACGGTAGTGTTTATATAATGGTGCTTTCTCGTTTGCTTAATATAAGACATTTGAAATGATTTATACTTTTACTTTTGATACTTAAGTATATTTAAAACCAAATACTTTTAGACTTTTACTCAAGTAGTATTTTACTGGGTGACTTTGACTTTTACTTGAGTCATTTTATATTAAGGTATCTTTACTTTTACTCAAGTATGACAATTAGGTACCTATTCCACCACTGAGGGTAGGGTCACCTCTGTCTGTCTGTCTGTCTCTGCTTCTGCCTCTGTCTCTAATATAGATATAATAATATATGCCATTTAGCAGATGCTTTTTATCCAAAGCAACTTCCAGTCATGCATGTATACATTTTAAGTATGGGTGGTCCCAGGAACCGAACCTACCTGGTGTTGCAAGCACCTTGCTCTATCAACTGAGCTACAGAGGACCAATCTCTCTCGCACACACACACAAACAGCACAACCATTACTGTATTGAGGAGTCAGTGGCTCAGTGTGAGGTGACTAATGTGTGTGGACTAATGTCTCCTCTCCAGCGGTGGTCAGGATCAGTCCCTGTCACTCCCGCCAGCCCTCTACCATCTCAGACGCGTCGGCGGCTGACGGGGATCGGTCGTCCACCCCCAGTGACATCAACTCCCCCCGCCACCGGACACACTCTCTCTGTAATGTAAGAGCTGCCTGGCCCCCCCGACCAAGTAATCACACCTCCGCAATTCTCTATAAGTACCTTTACTCTTCTTTGTTCGGTCTGTTTGTCTGTCTGTCTTTACCTGCTCTTTCAGTTGGTTTAGTTATGTTGTAGTATTGGTTACTGTAGTTCTGTGATTGAATCTGCAAGTCGTTTGTGTTGACTAACCTGAATGTCTGTCTGTCCTCTGCACTCTCTTTCTCTGTCCTACTCCCCTCTGCCCCTTTTTCGCCCTCTCCTCCTGCCCCCCTCTCTCTCTCTCTCTCTCTCTCTCTCTCTCTCTCTCTCTCTCTCTCTCTCTCTCTCTCTCTCTCTCTCTCTCTTTCCTCCTGCCCTCACTCTCTCTCCTACTGCCCCCCCCCCCCCTCTCTCTCCTCCTACCCTCTCCTTCCCCTGGCCTAGTCTATGGAGGACCTGGAGGACCAGAAGCGTAAGACTAAGAAGAAGGAGAAGATGAGTCTGGGCTCCCTCTCCCGGGTGTTTGCTCGGGGCAAGCAGCGCAAGTCAATGGACCCGGGCCTGTTTGATGGTACATCCATCCCTGATTATTACATAGAGGAGGATGCCGACTGGTGATGGTGTGTGTGGGTCTGGTTGTGTGCATGCAGATGTGCGTGTGTGTCTCTGTCTGTCTGTCTGTCTGTGTGTGTGTGTCTCTGTCTGTCTGTCTGTCTGTGTGTGTGTGTCTCTGTGTGTGTGTGTGTGTGTGTGTGTGTGTGTGTGTGTGACCATGTGCATGTGTGCGGGTGTGTTGCCGTATGTGCCCAAAAGAAAAACCTGAAAGACAACTGGTACCCCCAGAAAATGTATATTATCCTCAAAAATGTATGTATGTAAATTAAATATATATTTATAGATGTACATGTATGCATATGTATATATGTTTACATGCATATAAATATATACATGAGATTATTATGTGTAAACATGTTTATGCTGTGTAATCTTTTATTTATCTTAATATATATGTGTTTTTTATAACTGGAGACATGAAGGACTGGTGTGAATATGTAAATAGTAGTAATTGAGCACCTAGTGTTTGTAAATGTCTTTTGTCTGATAACGGTTTTATTTCATAGTTGCTTTTATCATACTTTTTTATTTAGAATTTTCCCATCCCCAGTCTTATTTGGCCAATTCTTGACATTGTCATGAAGATATGAATGAGGAATAACCCTCCACATTGTGAATGGAAAATAAACACACCAGTGGTATCCATTAGTAATCAACATTGAAGTCTATGGAACGACCATGTTTCTTATAGTGAAACTGAAAGAAAATAATAATAATATGACAATCAGAAGGACATTTGATATTCTACTGAACAATGGACCAGTTAGTTGACTATTTCAGAAACGTCCCACTATACAGCCACAGTAAGGAGTCTGACCAGCCTTTTGTTGTGACCCTGTAGTGTAGAACAAGTGAAACTACTACAGCTGGGGGGAGCAGGTCTTATTGCTTATTCTGTCATAATGGATAAAAGGAGAGGAGCCCATTGGGCAGCATCGGCGAATAGGATAGCCTCATATAGGATGATGCTGTGAGTACCAGAGTGTCTGATGTGAATAGTGTGTTTTGTCTAGATACAGGTTTAGGAGTATGGGAATGTTAGATAGGTAGAGGAGTGATATGTGTTTGTTTGTGTAGGCCTCCTGCTCTGTTCTACCCATGCTGAATGTTTCAGATAGACACTGACCTTTTCAATCGGATCAATTGTTAAAGAATTACGGTACCCTGCCAGGCCTGTAGATGTGTTAAATCGATCCATATACATTTCTCACTGAAAGCTGAAAACCAAAATAAGGTTAAAAAAACAATGGTAGCAAACTATTTAAAACACACAAAGTGATCAATGTATCTGATTAACACACACACACAGTTTGAAAGCATTTTAAAGTGCCAAAGGTTCAAGTTTAATCTTTAACTAAATAGAGTCAGAGTAGATGTGGGTCACTGCCTTGTAAGATCGCTTTTGTCCTTATTGAGTTTAAAAACGGACAACTATCTAACATGTGCCAACGGTAAGCATAGGACTGTGCAGTAAAGCCCCTGCATGATTACATGTGCTGCTTTGGTTAGGAATCCATTAGTTAGCAGTGATATTAACAACCTAAAGCATCCTCATATTCCCTAACCCCCCAGAACATAACCCCATTCCCATTTTTCATTATCTTGCATCATTCTGGATGCAATGACAGTTTTTAGTTTTGCTCTTTACCATACAACCCTCCTCATTTCTTACATTTGTGATTATGACGATAATCTGTTTCATGTTTTGTAATTTAGGAGATGTTGCATAAAAGAGTAAATCTTTCAAAGTATTTTATTTAAAGAACAAGAAGTAACTTCAAGGGTAAGATAACCTGACCTGTCTTCAACTTTTGACAGTGGATGAGGAGGAGCTTTAACATCTTAAAAAATGAATATGATAAATGATTCAAATAAAATCTTATTTTAAAATGAAACCAGCAACTAAATATCCATGTGGCGTTATTCTGTTCCATGTGTAATCTGTTCTTGTGTCCCGCTCCCTTTCAGGGGGCATGTTGTCATGTTGGATGGTGAATCCCTCCCTCCCCAGAAAATAACTCCTCATATGTGAATTACCAAGTGTCTGTTTCCACACTGTGGGGATCATTCATAAAACTATACTCCTGAAGGAAAATGACCTCCTGCGCTGTCTTTTGAAAACCTACTGAAAACTTATGAGGGATTGTATTTATGTAGGCCTCACTCTCAGCATGTGAAAAAGGCAGAAGACACACTCGCTAATCATCCTGGATTTTGCAGCTTACTTATTTGTTTAAGTCTTGGAAAAACAGGTGGTAAATTCACAGCAGCAGTTGGTTTTATGAATAATGTGTCCCATGTGTTTCAACGTGTCTCAATCTCTAATATTTGCCTATAGTGCCTAAAAAATCCCTCCATCCCCAGAAGATCATTCAAACACAACCATTCAAATGCAAACCTTAACCCAACTCACACAGTATTTACTGAACACTAGAACCAAAAAAAAAGGTATCTGTCTATGAAATGCGTACTAATAGTTTTCATTGTACCATGTAAAAATGTTTTCCTGGATTTGTCAGTGCTTGAGTCACCTGCCCAGATGTGGCACCTGTTCTCAGTTTGTAATATACATTGTAGTGTGATGAGTTATTCAGTAATGTCATCATAATATGGCATCTAATCAGTACTCTGTCAGATAATAGAGACCTCAATAATACTCTGCTGTGGTGAATTACTCTGGTGCCATCTAATGGCTGCATAGAGCAGTGTCTGACTGTTCATACAAGTCCCAAAGCTGTTTTACGCTTTCTTGGTCCTGTCTCATGTGTGAGACCCTCTGTCATTCAATCGCTAATACTGCTGTCATGAAATGGCATTTGATGTTAGCTGCGGGGGGGACATAATTCCAGGTTGATGAGTTGCCCAACAATCAGATGGGTTTCAGTAGACGGTAAATATTGTAGCCATGTTAACATGTTTCAGAGGGATGTTAGTAATATCCTAGGTATGCAGTGATATATCTTCCTCCATTTTCTACAGTTAAAGGCCCAATGCAGCCATTTTTATATCAATATCAAATCATTTCTGGGTAACAATTAAGTACCTTACTTTAATAGATTTCCATTAAAATTGGCAAAAGTATCTTTCTAGCAAAAAACTATTTTTAAAAGCAATAATTTTGCTGGGACTGTCTGGGAGTGGTCTGCGTGGGGAGGGGAAAACGGAAAACTAGCTGTTATTGGCAGAGAGGTTTGAAACTCTCTTTGTTATTGGTCTATTAACCAATTTACCGCATGGTGATGTCACCATGGAAAGCCAAAACTCCCGCCCATGCAAATCTGCTGATAAGAAGGTCCTCTGTAGATTGTATTTTCAACCAGCAACCATCAGAAAATAACACTGATCAAAATTGTTCACACTTTTACAGTGTTAGTTTCATCCCCTGTTGCACAATATGATATAAAACACAGGAAAAACTTAATTTTGACTGCACTGGGCCTTTAAATTTGAATTGGATGAGTCATTTTTGCCTCTCAATTCCTTTGACCCCAAACCCCTCCCCTGTCCTGTACTCCTACTTCCCCTGACCAATCCTGACAGACTCTGACAGCCTCTCCAGCCTATCGACACAACAACACAGCCTATCAGACGGAGAGGAGCAGCTGGACCGCCTCCAGCAGGCGGAGCTCACTTGGAACATGCCCATGTCACTGTGGAAGGCAGGGGCAGTACAAGCCTGGCTGGAGGTTGTCATGGCAATGCCCATGTACATCCGTGCTTGTTCGGAAAACGTCAAAAGTGGCAAGGTACGGCCTCTACGCTTCAACATGTAACAAGTGCACATCCACTTTAAGCCTGATTTCAGGACTTGTTTTTACAAAGCCTGTAATGATGGTAACATCATTACTAAGAATCCCTCGTCCTCCCAGAAAAACAGGGATTTCAGCATGCATTCTTTCCTCATAGCATCTGCATTAAACGTAGTATTCCCTCGTCCATGCTTGCATGCGTGTGTGTGCCTTAGTGTGAGAGTGATTTTCAGTGCAGGTGTATATTGATAAGAAGAGTGCTCTGGGTGGGTGTCCCCTGGCTGCAGGTGCTGCTGGGGCTGACAGACGAGGACCTGGAGCTGGGACTGGGTATCAGTAAGCCCATGCACCGCAGGAAGCTACGCCTCGCCATCGAGGACTATAGGGAGGCAGAGGCTGGCCAGGGGTGAGCTGGAACACACACACACACACACACACATACAACACACACACACATACAACACACACACACACACACACACATTACTAAGTGAGACTTTCTAATCTTTTAGGCTATCAAAGGCTGCAGAAATGGACCATCATTGGGTTGCCAAATCTTGGTTGAGTGACGTCGGGTTGCCACAGTATTCCCAAGCCTTCCAAAATCAACTGGTGGATGGTCGTGTGCTCAAATCCCTCAGCCGACGAGACCTGGAGAGACTCCTGAACATCACCACCCAGTCCCACCAAACCAGCCTGCTCCTGGCCATCCAGCTCCTGCAAATGATCAACTTCAACAAAGAGGTCAGATCTGTAGTCATATTCCCAATACTGTGACATTAGAGTGACCTCTCAGCCTCTCCTCCCTGTGTGCTTGTGTTGGTGTGGTTACAGTAATAACCATACAATAACAGTACTGTATTGTAACCGTATAGTAACAGTACTGTATTGTAACTGTATAGTAACAGTACTGTATTGTAACTGTATATTAACAGTACTGTATTGTAACTGTATAGTAACAGTACTGTATTGTAACTGTATATTAACAGTACTGTATTGTAACTGTATAGTAACAGTACTGTATTGTAACCGTATAGTAACAGTACTGTATTGTAACCGTATAGTAACAGTACTGTATTGTAACCGTATAGTAACAGTACTGTATTGTAACTGTATAGTAACAGTACTGTATTGTAACTGTATAGTAACAGTACTGTATTGTAACTGTATATTAACAGTACTGTATTGTAACTGTATAGTAACAGTACTGTATTGTAACCGTATAGTAACAGTACTGTATTGTAACCGTATATTAACAGTACTGTATTGTAACCGTATAGTAAAAAGTACTGTATTGTAACTGTATAGTTAACAGTAATGTATTGTAACTGTATAGTAACGTACTGTATTGTAACTGTATATTAACAGTACGTTATGTAACTGTATATTAACAGTACTGTATTGTAACTGTATAGTAACAGTACTGTATTGTAACTGTATAGTAACAGTACTGTATTGTAACCGTATATACAGATAACCAGTACTGTATTGTAACCGTATATTAACAGTACTGTATTGTAACCGTATAGTAACAGTACTGTATTGTACTGTATAGTAACAGTACTTTATTGTAACTGTATATTAACAGTACGTATTGTAACTGTATAGTAACATACTGTTGTAACTGTATTAACAGTACTGTATTGTAACTGTATAGTAACAGTACTGTATTGTAACTGTTAGTAACAGTACTATGTAACTGTTTAACAGTACTGTAAACTGTATAGTAACAGTACTGTATTGTAACTGTATATTAACAGTACTGTATTGTAACTGTATAGTAACAGTACTGTATTGTAACTGTATATTAACAGTACTGTATTGTAACTGTTAGTAACAGTACTGTATTGTAACTGTATATTAAACAGTACGATTTTTAACTGTTAGTAAACAGTACTGTATTGTAACTGTATAGTAACAGTATGTATTTAACTGTATATTAACAGTACTGTATTGTAACTGTATAGTAACAGTACTGTATTGTAACTGTATAGTAAACGTTGTACGATTAAGTGTATTGTAATGATAGTACAGTATGTATTGTACTGTATATTAACTAGTATGACTGTTTTTTCGAGCTATATGTAACTGATATAACAGTACTGTATTGTAACTGTATAGTAACCTACTGTATGTATGTTTAACTGTATAATGTATGTAACAGTACTGTATTGTAACTGTAATTAAACAGTATGTTTTTGTAACTGTATATTAACAGTACTGTATTGTAACTGTATAGTAAACGGGAAATGTATGATGTAATGTATTGTAACCAGTTTCTGTATTGTAACTGTAAGTAAACAGTACTGTATTGTAACTGTATTTAACAGTACTGTATTGTAACTGTATAGTAACAGTACTGTATGTAACTGTATATACAGTACGTATTGTAACTGTATAGTAACAGTACGTATGTAACGTATAACAGTTTCTGTATTGAACGTATAGTAACAGTACGTATTGTAACCTTGTAATAGTGAACCGTGAAAATCTGTATTGTACCTTAATTGACTGTATAGTAACAGTACTGTATTGTAATGTATATAACAGTACTGTAAAATTGTAAAGCTTATAGTAACAGTACTGTATTGGGAACTGTATACGTAAATAACAGTACTTGTAACCTATAGTAAAAGTACTGTCTGTAACCGTATAATAACTTACTTATTTTAACTTATATTAACAGTCTTTTTAACGTATATAAAATACTGTTTGTAACGTATTAACATACTGTATTTTTAACGTATAGTAACAGTACTTATTGTAACTGTATGTAAAAAGTATGTATTGTAAAAACTGTATGTAAAGACGTATGTAAAATGTATAGTAAAATATGTTTTTAACTGTAATTTAAAAGTACGTATTGGTTTTAAAGTATAGTAACAGTAGTATTGTAACTTATTAAAGTACTGTATTGTAAAAGTATTTAACAGTAAAAATGTATTGTAACCGTATAATAACAGTACTGTATGTAACCGTATAGTACAGTCTGTATTGTAACGTATATACAGTACTGTATTGTAAACCGTATAGTAAACAGTACGTATTGTGTTACACCGTATTGTAAAAGTAATACTGTATTGTAACCGTTTTAGTAACAGTACTGTATTGTAACCGTATAGTTAACAGTACTGTATTGTAAACGATAATAACGTCTGTATTGTAAACCGTATAGTAACAGTACTGTATTGGGAACCGTATAGTAAAATTATTGTATTGTACCATATAGTAACAGTACTGTTTGTAACTGTATATTAACAGTACTGAAATTGTAAACCATATAGTCACAGTTACTGTATGTAACCGTTTTATAGTAACAGTACTGTATTGTAACCGTATAGTAACAGTACTGTATTGTAACCATATAGTAACAGTACTGTATTGTAACTGTATATTAACAGTACTGTATTGTAACCGTATAGTAACAGTACTGTATTGTAACCGTAACAGTACAGTATTGTAACCGTATAGTAACAGTACAGTATTGTAACCGTATGGTAACAGTACTGTATTGTAACCGTAACAGTACTGTATTGTAACCGTATAGTAACAGTACTGTATTGTAACCGTAACAGTACTGTATTGTAACCGTATAGTAACAGCACAGTATTGTAACCGTATGGTAACAGTACTGTATTGTAACCGTATAGTAACAGTACTGTATTGTAACAGTTATAGTAACAGTTACTGTATTGTAACCATATAGTAACAGTACTGTATTGTAACCGTATAGTAACAGTACTGTATTGTAACCATATAGTAACAGTACTGTATTGTAACCGAATAGTAACAGGACAGTATTGTAACCGAATAGTAACAGTACAGTATTGTAACCGTATAGTAACAGTATTGTATTGTAACCATATAGTAACAGTACTGTATTGTAACCGAATAGTAACAGGACAGTATTGTAACCGAATAGTAACAGTACAGTATTGTAACCGTATAGTAACAGTACTGTATATGTGTGTTGTTGGTGTGCAGGTGCTGCAGGCTCGCCGGGCCCAGTGTGAGCACCAGAACCAGGACCCCGTGGTTTGGACCTGCCACAGAGTCATGAAGTGGATCAGAGACATAGACCTAAAAGTGTGTCCTTCTCCTAGAACAGAAACATCAGAATAGGATTCCGTTCTGACTGTCTCCATTTTGGGCCAATAGACTGGTGTATACTCTGTTTACATCCTGATAGTGGAGAATGAGTAAAATTGAGACAAGTTGTTTGTTTGCCTTCTCTGTCTAACTAAACATTATGTCCCTATGTCCAGGAGTATGCTGACAGTCTCCATGGCAGGGGAGTCCATGGTGCTGTGCTGGCTCTGGACCCCTCCTTTGATGCAGATGCCATGGGCAGGGCCCTGGGAATCCCCAGCCACAAACACATGCTCCATCGGCACCTATATGAGGAGATGAAGGCTCTCGCCATCCCTGCCAGGTGATTAGTCTTCCTCTATCATTTATGGTTTTAAGCTCTTTAGCAATAGTAATAAGTGGAATGTTTTGTTGATGAAGTGTTTACAGCAGTGAGGTCAATTAAATCTTCCGTCCTTCCTACTACTCCTTGCAGGCAAAGTAGTGTGGAGCAGGATTGTGACGCATCGGGAACACCTCCACAATCACCTTCTGCTGTTAGCCGCTATAACGAGGAGAGTGTGTCCATGAGACGAAGACCAGTTAAGGTAGGAAGAAGCTACTTTAATAACTATTTTATTCAAGAAGACTCATAAATGGCAGTTATTCTAAATTGTACTGCAGATATTCAAACTGAGGCTGTACTTTTCCACTGGGTATAAGCTCTGTTTTGCTTTGTGATTCATTCTTCCTTTCATTTTCCCAGAGTCCTCTAAAGTTCAGCCCAAAGACTGCCATTGGACGGGGCCTTGGTTACCATGGCAGCTGTGGATCTCTGCCCAGAGAGGCGCGGGTGCAGGCTGTGCCCAGGACGAAGGGCAGTCCCATGCACACATACAACAGTGTTGAGATCACCAATGTCTAAGCTATGCAGAGCCACCAAGGATTTCAATGCAGTTTCCATTTAGCCTGAGGTGGATACTGGTGGTTGGACTCAGAACCAACATAATTGCTGTTTGTTGACAGTCTAAGTTTTCATCTTAATTTTTGGAATTGAAAATCTTTTTCAATTTTAGAGACATTTTCTTTCTTGTTCTACAGTAGATGTCAATAGATCAGTGGACTTAATGCCTTATGTTTGAATAGGCAAAACTATGAACATTTTGTAACATTCTAAATTCCACATTGCAGCACTGGTGGCATGTTTCCTTTCTAAGAATGAACATCACAACATTTCTTTATCTAGACATCTCTTGTAACATATATCAAGGAACATTACGCTAATAATGAGTTTCCGCATATCAAACAAAAAATATTGACTGTGTAAAGGACAAAGTAACTTCTGGGCATTAAATCAAACCATCCCAAGTCCATGGAGGCTGAAAGTGGTCTGTTCCTGATGTTGATGAAAATGTTGCCATGCGAGGAGGACGCATGGAGGGAGGACCTACACCTGATGTCCTGGTTCTTTGATGTCCATGCCCTGTTTCCTGTATCTCACTGCCTGGCCTGCCTCCCCCTGCAGGGGAGTGATGTTGGCCTGGCCTGCCTGGGTTTCCTGGCTCAAAAGTTGCAGGTGTCTACTAGGAACTTGGACCCTATTCATAGCAGAGCTTTCTCTTTGTTCAAATAGCTCAAATGTGGCTAAGAGGTACAGATCAAAATCAAATCAAATGTTATTTGTCACATGCTTCGTAAACAACAGGTGTAGACTAACAGTGAAATGCTGACTTACAGGTCCGTTTCCAACAATGCAGAGTTAAAGATACATTTATTTAATAAAAATACAGACTACAGTATGATATGTTTGTCATAAATATACTTGACTTTACTGAAAGCAATAAAAGCACTTCACTTCCATGTGTCACTGTAAATATGGGGAAAATACTGTATTACAATATTACTAATCAATTGATTAGAAGGTCAAGATTTAGCTATGTCTCTCTGTGTCACAGAGATTACAATATTGTAAATGTTTGTACAGTTTGCATTACAGATAATGAAGGACCTCAAACAAAGGAACAGTTCTATAATACCATGGTTTAGAATGTCTATGTAGGACAGAATGTCAAGGGAAATCGTTGTTTTATTATCAATAACTCGATTATCTTTACCACACATGATTGTAGCAAGAGTGCATTAGCTGTATGCAGTATGTTGTATACCACGTGTCAAACTCATTCCATAGAGGGCCAAGTGTCTGCAGGTTTTTGTTCTTCCCTTGTACTTGATTGATGAATTAAGGTCACTAATTAGTAAAGAACTCCCCTCACCTGGTTGTCTAGGTCTTAATTGAAAGGAAAAAACGAAAACTTGCAGACACTAGGCCCTCCACGGAATGATTTTGACACCCCGACTGTATACTGTACAACAGTATATTTCACCACTGCATTCCACAGCCATGTCTCTATATGCAAACAGCTGGAGGGGGACTCGAACCAGAGGAAGACAGGTCTGTCAGCTATGGGAGTCACCGACAGAAATCAACTCCAGCACCCTAGTGAACACAGTCATATGGAGAAACAAAGCAGCAACATTAGACTAGTTCAAACTAGTTAACTGTGGTTGTTGGTTGTGAGATGTGGTTTGAATATCAATGGCTTATGTGTTACAGAAAACACACACTATACTGTTGACTTTGGTATGGTATCACAATCGACTTTCACACAAGTATATCACATCCATATATAGTCAGACTACTGACAACAGAACAGAGGGGCAATTTCCATTAAATGTGAAAGAGTTTATATTGTATGTTTTCAAATAGATTAAGTAATAATGTATAATGTGCCATTGCTGATTATTATTTTATTTTTTACGGTTGTACATAAATGAACTACAATTCATTCTGGAGCACTTGTGTTTAGTGTACTCAATAATAAAGATATAAATGCTATCTAAAATTCACTTTAATTGCAGTTTATTATGAGCACATAAGAAAATCGAGTAGTTATAATTGTTTTAAATTTGTATTTAGTCTCCTCAGGCACTTCTCAGACAGGCCTATTTGGGGGAATAGAATTGTCGTTCGAAGTTTATTTGAGTTTTACGGGGAATTTCCAGCATAAGCGACACTCTTTATACAACCTGGACTCATGGGTAGACGTAACATAGTAAACTTAAAACCGGGACACTCCAATTGGTCTGTTATGTTACATTTCATTTGGTATGTATTAATTTGTGAATCTCCATCATTCATTTAATAAGAAATGTTATGAATTGCAATTTGTTGTTAGCTAGGTGGCTAATGTTAGCTAGGCTAGTGGTTAGGGTAAGGGGTACAGGAGGTTGGTGGCACCTTAATTGGGTAGGACAGGCTCGTGGTAATGGCTGGAGAGGAATAGGTGGAATGGTAGCAAATACATCAAACACATGGTTTCTGTGTGTTTGATCCCATTCCATTTGCTCCGTTCCAGACAATATTATGAGCCGGTTAGGAGTTAGGTTAAAGGGTTAAGGTTTAGCTAACATGCTAATAGTTGAATAGTAGCTAAACAGTTGTAAGTAGTTGCAATGTTGGTAATTAGCTAGAATGCTAAAGTTGTCCGTGATCAGATTTGAACACACAACTTTGGGTTGCTAGACATTCACATTATACACTCACCCATCCACCCTGACAACCACATACTTTATTTTTTGCCTTAACTAACCTTCTGTCTCATGTAACCAAACTAAATGTAACATTTACTAATCCCGGATTACTATGTTACGTCTCATCTATGAGACCAGGTTGCGTTATAAAAGTGCGCCTACGTGCTCTATGACCAAGGAGCAAAGAGTTTAAGCTTTACAACCGGGGGGAGTTTTCACTCTGGGTGGAATTTGGACAAAGTTCCTGTCTAACGTATTCCCTGAATTCTATAGACTATCATCGGGGGAAATACACACGTTAATACATATTTCAGATTGTGTAAATAGCAGGATTACATTCTGCATATTAGGGTGGCAATATCATAATCTTGAAAGACACCTGCGAAACATCAGGTATTCGATTGGGAGGGAAGTCATTGGGCGTTCACGGCTGGAAAGGGTAAGGTAAGGCCGTCTCAAATTGCAAATCACCTTGACAGTTTGAGCAGTGTTCAGACTAACTTTATTATAAATCTGTGAAGTATTAGGCCGTGTTATCTGATAACACAAAATCGCAGTTCTGATGGCAAGATCTAATGCCAGAGTTTGTGACATGATTTCAGTTCCTCCTTTTTAAATTCCTTCCCACTACAAACACCTTCGCTCAAATGGGTGGCAGCGAGAGATTGTATCCGGATTCGGGAGGGAGAATTGTAGTCAAATTGATACATTAAGATGGTATTAGTCTGATTAATCATGCTGTAATACACAATTTTGGTATATACAGCCTGAAACGAATGCCTGTAAAGTCGTGTAAATGCTGCTTAGAAGCTAGCCCATGATCATGAGTCTCAGTTACATTACATTTACATAAAGTAAGAGTCATTGGATGAAGGCGGCTTCTGTAAAATTGTGTTTTGTTAGGAGGCGCGACGCTCGGTCTGGACATTAGCATGCGTTGTTTGCGGTACGGTTTTGGAAGCATAAGGACCTTATCTTTCGTATCAGCGAGAAATAGTTTTCACAAAAAAATTATTAAATTGATACACAACTTTTTATAGGGTTAGGTTCCCACAAGGCCATATTTCCATGTTACAGAGCTTGTTTAAGGAAAACGGATGGAAGATGGTGGACTACCTGTGCTAATTAGCTATCTGCGTCTCTGAACACGTGTAAACGGAAGACAGGCACCACAAACGTGTTGTCACTGAAAAATACTGTCAGCTACAACTGCGTTAAAACTGGTTTAAACAGTGAACAGTAAGTGTGTATTTAGCGTTTGTGAAATAATTTTTGATGTGATATGAAAGTAGAGGGATTTATGTTTCTATAACTGTACCACAATTGAGAATAAATTCATGTTTAGATGGAGTATTTGGCTGTTTTGTCTTCCAGAGCCAATTCAACCTTTAAACAGAACATGCATGGCCTTGGAATAAGGAGTAACGTTATGCTTGGACTCTACAAGGTGTCGAAAGCGTTCCACAGGGATGCTGGTCCATGTTGACTCCAATGCTTCCCACAGTTGTGTCAAGTTGGCTGGATGTCCTTTGGGTCGTGGACCATTCTTGATACACAAAGTAAACTGTTAACTGTCAAACCCAGCAGCGTTGCAGTTCTTGAGACAAACCGGTGTGCCTGGCACCTACTACCATAACCTGTTTAAAGGCACTTAAATATTTTTTCTTGCCCATTCACCCTCTGAATGGCACACATACACAATTCATGTCTCAAGGCTTAAAAATCCTTCTTAAACTTGTCTCCTCCCCTTCATCTACACTGATGGAAGTGGATTTAACAAGTAACATCAATAAGGGATCATAGTTTTCACCTGGATTCACCTGGCCAGTCAATGTTATGGAAAGAGCAGGTGTCCTTAATGTTTTGTATACTCAGTGTATACTGGAGTTGCTTACCAAGACGACATTGAATGTTCCTGAGTGGCCTTGTTACAGTTTTGACTTAAATCGGCTTGAAAATCTATGGCAAGACTTGAAAAGGTTGTCTAGCAATGATCTATCGCCCCGTAGCACTCACTTCTGTCATCATGAAGTGCTTTCAGAGACTAGTCAAGGATCATATCACCTCTACCTTACCTGCCACCCTAGACCCACTTCAATTTGCTTACTGCCACAATATTCAAATTCGACCTCCAGATGTCCCATAGTAATGAACGTGTCGGGAAGAGACAGACAGGTAGGCAGCTTTTCTCAGCCAGTCGAAATCATGAATCCGCATAATTTTTATGGATATATATAAAGAACTATCAATAGAAAATAGGTCAAACTAAATGAAGTGCAGCTAGTTTGAAGTCTTTCCAGCTTCAGTTGGAAGTGATTGTGTTAGCTGTGTTGT